CCCCACGTCGATCATAGTCGTCCGTGTACCGGAGACCACCACCGTAATAATCGTCTTGGTCATAATCGTGGTAAGGTCTAGAGCGCACATGGGAAGCAGGGCCTCGATTATAATGTCTGTCATCGTTATGCCTGGGACCTCCCCGTCGAGATGGTTCGTTTCGATAACGCCTCTCGTTATAGTCATCATCGCGTCGACGTTTCTGCCCTCGGTAGTCTCGATAGGGCGAGCGAGAGCGGGATCGCGATCGCGACCAAGTCCTCGTCCTGGACCTCCGTTGGCGTGGCGACCTGCTTACAGATGCTGGAGACCTGAGGGCGGACGATGTACTGACTCTGGTTTGACGGTCAACGCTGGTGCCATTAAGAGGAAGTTGCGACGTAGTTGCCTTCGTCTCTGAACCTGATTCGATGATCTCACCCTCAGAAGGGGTCGATGGAGACCTCGACCTACGTGACGCCATTGCTAGAATGGAGCGTGCACGGGATTTTCAAACTTTGAAAGGGCCTGAGAATTTAATCGTGGCTTTCACGCGCAGCTTCAGAGAGAAGAGAGGAACAGAACTCCGGTTAGCAAAGTTACTCCAGACAATCAGTTAATGGAGAGAGTGTATTGAGAAAGTCCAACCGGCTAGTGATGCCACGGCCTTTGCCAACTTGACTACCGTTTCGCACGAAGCATGTGCCTTTTAACAAATCTCGCGTCAAGAGCACTCAGAGTCCTAAAATTCAAGCTGAACGAAATGAGAAGTTTAACAGCCTTTAAGGATGAAAAAAGAACTGAAGAGATAACAAGAGAGACTGAGACAGGACATGACGGAGAAGTCTCAGTTGCCCCTTGGCTGTCTTGCTCGGGCGCTAGTGCCACCCCGCCCGCTGATAAGCATCTTTTTCCTCTCTTTTTTCTTAATTTTTTTTATCTGCCCATTTCCCCACGTCGCAGCCATCTCCGTCTTTCATCTCGTTCTAGCGACTATTTTCATCTGTTTCTCCTTCTAAGACTTTCTACACAATGGGTGGTGCAAGCAGAGAAGGTATGTCGTCTCCCTCCCGTGGATAGTGCGATACAGTCAACTAACTCATTTTATTTACCAGGCGGCAAGGCCAAACCTTTGAAGTCCGCCAAGAAGGAGAAGAAGGACCTCGATGAGGATGATCTCGCCTTTAAGGAGAGACAGAGAGCCGGTACGTTGTCCTCTTGTGTTCGCTGATGCAAACTGGCCCGGCGCATTTGCTAACTGCTGTTGATGGACAATAGAGGCCAAGGCGAAGAAGGAATTGTTGGAGAAGGCGAAAGGCAAAGGCCCGCTGAACACTGGCCAGCAGGGTATCAAGAAATCCGGAAAGAAATAAACTGTCTTTCAAATGATCTGCGAATCATCGTTATGATATACAACGAGCCATGATGATATACGACCGCACCTGTGGCGCGCATCCATGTTGGCATTGATTATGCAACTTTTATTACCCGAGCATATTCACTACTTGAGAGATAACCATTTCAAAAATCAAGGCATGTCCATAATAGTCAAAGAAGCGCGCATCATTTGCTTTAATCAGCAGAACGTATGCCGATCCATAGCGCGCAGGCAGAATACGACACCTGAACTTCGAGATCAGAAATTCTTATTACTACGGAATGGGTATCACTGGCGCCCCCTCTGAATAATTGCAGGATAAATCCGAATGATCTGCCAGCAGTGTAACAGTAACGCGAAGAGCGTATCTCCCGACTTGAGTCGCGCCAATAAAAAGGGTATTCGCAGAACGGAAAGGGGTATGGCTCAACCAACACACATTCAGAGGCGGTGTACTGGAAATCAAAAGGAACATAAATCAGACAAGGCGACACTTTACCAACGAAAGTCAAATCATAACAGTCGCAAGCAGAAATTTGAACCCGAAATTGACTGAAAGAAAGGCTTTCAGCTGGTCACCCGCTTTACCCATAAGCCGCTGTCTCCACCATACAAGTCTTGCTCGTCGCGTTTCTTCCAAAGTCTGAATAGTTTCATCCCAATCTCATGCTCCTCTCTCTTGATATCGGCTAATTCGTTGTTGAGACTGGTGACAGTCTTCTTGACCTCGTCGCGGGCAGCTATGTCGTAAGCGATGGAGCTAGGCTGGATGACCTGGGTCAGTTCGTGAATAATTGTGTTAATGTTTGCCCTACGCCGTGCAAGGGTGTCCCTCCTTGCTTCCAGCATCTCAATGCGGTTTTGAGCTTGTTGTTCTGGTGGACATGGGGGGAGGTCTTTGCCATTGTCAGCCTGGGACGGGGTTGGCTTCCTGGTTGGCTTCTTCCCCGGAGCCATGGCACTGGGGATGGGTCTTTTGCGGGACATGATTGAGGGTGCGTTCTCTGTAGACTGGGAAGCCGCATCGACGCTCTCACGACGACTGGGTGTAGGGCTATCGCTCTCCGTCGTGGCGCAGGTGGTTGCACTGAAGCGACTGACGGGTGCATGAGCCTGGTCTCCGGTGGACAGCTTCAACTCAGCGAGGGTGGCTTCCAGAGTGGACCCTGGAATTTCAATACGGGGTGGAACATCGCTAGTCGCACTGATGGATGTTATCGGTTTCTTCGCAATTGATGGTTGCTGGCGACTTTTGCTAGGCTGGCGTCTGTCCGGTCCCAGGGTATTATCTGCGCCTCCAGTAATTGTTGTGACTACCGACGGGGCGAAACCGAGGTATGAATAGTCTGGAGAAGCACGGTCGCTTTCTTTTGATCGATTATTGTGATCGTTATTCTTTGATTGATGGACACGTGATGACGATCTCTCCCGTGGCTTCTCCTGGATCGGATTTATCATCGCAGATCGCCCACTCGGACCCTTCCAAGGTTCACGCACTGCTAGAGAAAAAGGATTATCATTTTTTGACGGTGACCGTTGCCGGCCCTCTGTGTTCTGTTCTTTTGAATGACCGGGGCCCTTGATCCATCTAGAAGCGTTGCTTGATCCCGTGTGTTGTGATCCGAAGGAGATATCTGTGGAAAGGTTGGGTGCGAATTTATCTGAGTGGCTTGTGGTTGGTGCATCGGAAAAACCATCCCATCGCGCTGTGCGATTCTGACCTGAGAGACCTTGCGTCGACGGTCTGTTGTCAGGTTGCGCAGAGCGCGCCCGCTTACGTGGGATTGGCAAATGGCTTGCGAGCTTCGTGATGTTGTGTTCTCCGTTGGACGTCTGATTTGACTCAAACTCGAGAGAAGAGACACGTGAGCTACCTCGACTGTGATATGTGCGACCAATAGACATAGGCGAGTCCGGAGGTGAAATCTCTACGCTCAGAATTTCTGAGGCAGTTTCAGGGTCTTGATAAAACCTGCCATCGTTCTGATGGTCCCAGGTGACTGAGCGCTGGCGACTGTGGTCGAACGTGTCCCGAGAATAAATGGACGAAGTAACACGATGACCTGAGTCGGATCTATTCGCAGAAAAGGTCGAGTCTGAAGAATACCTATGATTGTCAGCAGACGCTCCACCAACCTGACAGCCACTTGCAATTAACACTTACTGTGGTACGAATGGTAGGCCTTTGGGCAGTTTTTCGGCCGTTCGAGCACCGGAACCCGAAGACTGGCACACGTTATCAACTGAAGATTCCTTGACTAGCTCTGGGGTCACAATTACCGGTTTCCGCGAGCGATGAAATGACACCTTTCCCCACATTTTGATCGAAGTTTGAAGTATTCTGATTGATAGACTGATGATCAGTGTTCTCCCCGAAGTAGGTATGATTCGGGTGATTCGCTTAGGTGAATCAGAGAAAAATGAGAAAGCAGGGTTATTCACTATGACATACCTCTTATCTACAAAGAGCGAGAACAAGGAATGAAGGCAACCAGCTTAGGGAAGGTAATCAGCCTGGTTTGACCGAACATTGACATGCCCGCATGTCACCGAACGAAAAAGGAGTCAATGCAGCTGGAGAGGCTCGAGCAACTCCAATCAAGCTGGCAGAGAATGGAGTGTATCCAAGGAAATGCAAAGGAAGAAAGCAAGGAGTGACACAGTATGGGAGAGCCCAAAAGAAAGACTGAGGGTGTGATCAGTCAAACCAATAAAAGGAAAGGATAGAAAGATAGAAAGAAAGAAAGAAACCGGACAACAACGTGCTGCTGAGCACTGCCAACAGAACCCCTCCGCAGATGATGAAAGCAAGTAATGAATGAATCAATCAAAACGACAAGAAGATGGAAAGAAGAAGTTGGTGGCAGAGTGAGCATGACAGCACTGAGCACATGCTCTCTGTCGGCACTAAAGTAAGATGACACTGTTTCAGAATTCCGTTGTAGTTTAGTCTAACTTGGCTGTGAGCCTGTGACCGTAATACTCCGTAGTTAATTTTGATGTGGTTATTATTAGGACAATCTTGGCTCTAAGCCTAAGGGAGTAGAACCCAAGGAGGAATATAGGACAGAAGTAACTCCATAATTCAGGAGTAACTCTATTCAGGAGTAACTCGGCTGAGACCCTTATCTTCAAGTCCAAGCTTCGATAGAAGTACATCCTACTATTGAAGTCAAAAATAACTAGCATCTCAATTCTAATGAACTCAGTCTACGGTACTAAAATATCAAAAGTTAAGACTTTGTTTCCTCAAAAGTCAGGCCGCCACAGCCGGGTGGTAGGCCGATACCTTACCGCACTAGGTAATCTCCGCAAAGTAGGTCCACGGTCGGAAGCCGAAGTTGACATCCGTTATGACGGCTTACTCTCGACTTCTGGACTCCATATCATCATCGTCATCATCGTCATCCCGTCTCTACATCGACTAGAGCCGTCTCGGAGTCAACCTAGAACTCAACCAGTTGCTCTCTACAGTCTAAAATGGCTTCAACAGGTATTCCTCCCCGTCGAAGTCTGGATAGAGCCAAATGCTTACCACTTCCCAGGAGACGGTGCGGTTCCCGCATCCGCAGAAGTGTACGTACATCTCTCAGCACCTCTCAAGCCCGAAAATGAACATGTCTGACGTCTCCATCGGTCAAGGATGTCAATCGCGACCCCCATCAACCTCATCCTCCTATCTCTCTTCGCAATCCTGGTCTACATGCAACTCCGCCCCAAGGCGCCCGTCGCCCTCCCGCAAGCTCCCCCACCCGTCGTGTTCCGCACCTTCACACCAACAACCCTCCTCGAGTACAATGGCGAAGGCGATAAACCCGTCTACCTTGCCGTCCGTGGACGAGTCTTCGACGTGACCCCAGGCAAGAACTTCTACGGCCCTGTATGCCTGCGCATTAGACCTTGATATCGCAGGAAGAGTCAACTGACACCTGTTGTCTACTCCAGGGCGGACCATACGAGAACTTTGCCGGCCGCGACGCATCGCGTGGTCTGGCGCACCAGAGCTTCGATGTCGAGATGCTCACTAAGGATCTAAAGGGTCCTCTGGATGACCTCGAAGATCTCAACGAGGAGCAGTTGGAGAACCTCCAGTCCTGGGAGGAGCGGTTCCTGGAGAAGTATCTCGTCGTGGGTAAGTTGGTTGCAGAGGGTGATCCAGAGGCGCCAAAGTCGTGAACGGTATCTATCACTATTGTAGTAACTTTACGAGGGACGTATTCGGCTGCGTATTTATCCTCTGTCTGAGGAGCTACCGCGTCGAACTACCGACAAGACGACACGAAGCCGAGAACAAGTAAAAGAAGCATTTGTATCTCATGATAATGTCTAGAAAGGGATTTCATGGTATGATATACGAAGTATGTTTTGTGGTCAAATCACTTTTCTCCCTTCAGCTGGCAGATGCCACCGTCAAAAAGCAAATGTTTTGTGGGGCCAGAGGTTTGGACTACAGTCTTTCAATAACTTTTCCTTGTTATTAGACTAAACATTGCATGGCAACTGTGACGTTGCAAAAGATTGCCCCAAAGATTATTTCAGAATCATCGTAACTTCCATAAAAACAAGACTAACCTAAGAAAAGCCTCCAGTCCAACCCCGTCCTGCAAACCTCATAAATGAAAGTGAAATACAATCATCATTCGTTAAGAAATCTAGAGCTCCGAGCGGATCTTCTCAGCGCCCTCTGAAGCCTTCGCCTTCGCCTTCTCAGCGGCCTCCTGGCCTTGAGCTCGGCCACTCGAGGCTCCAATCTTCAGCTGGTCCATGACCCACTGGGACCATTCCTGGAGCTTGGAGTAAAGGATTCCCTGTGGGCTAGTGGTTCCGTATCGGAAGTATTGGGCATGGCGTCTGGCTGCGGCGCGGAGCTCGTTGACACTAGAACCCTGGTAGGTGGGAATGCCATAGGAATCAAGGTATGCCTTGAGTTCGGAGTGGGACCAAGTGTCAAAGGTCGTGTCCTTGGCTGCGTCAGTGGCTTGAGCCATGTAGGAAGTGGCAGATGCCATGTTCGCTCCTCCAGCCTTGGAGGCTTTGGCGTATGCTTCCTGAGCCTGTTTGATGAGCTCATCGCGGGTGACGTCTGCGCGGTGAGCAGCCTTGGCGTTCATGGAAGACAGGTATTTCCTATGAGCAGAGTTAGAAAAGTGTGATTTGACACAGACAACGGGGGTTTCTTACTTCAGCTGGTCAGTGTTCCAGGTGTCAAAGGTCCAGGCAGTCCATCCGGTCGCGGCCTTGTGCTTGTTCAGTCTGACCTTGGCAAGAAGCTCGTCGCGCTTGCTCGACTGAGGAACAGGAACTCCGCGTGCGTCCAAGTAGGCCTTGAGACGAGAGTCTGACCATGTCTCAACAGCCGCATCGAATGCATCCTGGGCCTTCAAATGGGCTTGATCAGTTGCGCGGGTGTATTGGTTGCCAGCCTTGGACGTAGCGGCGCCGATCAAGCTTGTTGCCGACACGGAAGCGGTCTTGGAAGCAACGGAGGCCTGGCTCACAAGAGAGGCACGGTGCTTTCTGGCCAAAGCAATAAGCTCATTACGCTTCGAGCCTTGGGGCACCTTGACGTTGTGCTCATCAAGGAACTTCTTCAAATCGGAGTCAGACCAAGCGTTGAACAATGCCTCGCTCAGGCTCGACTGTGCAGCTTCGGCTGATTTGGTGGCGGAAGCCGCAATGCTGCGCGCCTGCAGACTGGCTAGTCTGGCATTGCGACGAACAGACGCGATAAGCTTGTCCCTGGTTGTTGGCTGAGGCACAGGCCAACCACGCTCATCCAGCCACTCCTTCAGATCGGACTCAGTCCAGTGCTCATAAAGCCAGTTACCAGGGTAGTGCGCAGTCTCGCCAACTTTTTTTGCGATGGCCTCGTAGTTTTCACGAGCAGCCTTCAGGAGTACGTCACGCCTGCGAGGTTGAGGAACAGGAACGCCATGGCGATCAAGGAATGCCTTGAGATGGGAGTCTGACCAACTACGGATGCGTTAGCGGAGGTTTGTTGCAATCATACGTCAAAAGTGCAGATTACTCACGTATCAAAAATCCATTCTTTGGCATGATGCCACTGGTCAGCGCCATTCTCGGCTGCATTTCCCAGAGGCTTCTGAACCTTGGAATCCCAATTGCGCTTGACCAAATCTTCGAGATCTTTTCGGTCGGCAGGGGTGGGATAAGGGACGTCTGGATCATCGTTAGCCGCGTGCATGCTTGGGGTATCGATGGAAAAAAAAATGCGAACCATGATCGGAGAGCCATCGTTCCAATTCAGTTTCGTGCCATTTGTTATAAGCTAGAGTGACATGATTAGCACGAGAGCCTGAGAAGGACAACTGAGATTAAGGGGAAATGGATTGCCTCAAAACACACCTGCTTTGCTGAGCCAGTTGAACGCTCCGACCGCCTGTGTGGTCGCGAGGAAGAACACTAGGCTGGAGCCTAGATTAAGTCTCATTGTGGAGGTAGGTTCTTCTCTTCACTCCTATATAATCGCAGATCTTGATCTGTATAGATCCTGGGTGGCGTTATTAATAAAAGAAAGCTCGTTGAAGCTCTAGAGGAGGTATGAATGAAGGGGGTTGTTGCTTACAAGGGGGAGTGACTGCTGGTGTACTTTCTTGAGGAAAAGAAACAATCAAAAAGTCACGTATCTTTGAGGGATACCAAGTACTTAAATGGTGAGAATTTGAGGTTGAAAGAGAAACAGAAAGTGAGCAGATGTTGGCAATATGATGCATTTGAAGGAGATGATAGGCGAGTGACGTAGGTGCTGCTGAGTGGTGGCCGGTTTCCATGCTTCTGAGGTGAGTTTAAGTACTGGCGTCATCGACAGAGCTTCCTTTGTGCTCTAGCCTCAATGAGAAATATCTTATTGTTCTTTCAGTTGGTTTTGCTTTTCAGGACCCGCTTGGTCTGAAGACAACCGGCATCTATGTAAATATACAAAATAAAAATCATGCGGCAGATGCACTCCATAGATACATAGGCACTAAACTAAAACGCCCTACCTAACAGTAATACAGTTAAGCTTGGTACCTTAGGCCGCCCAACTACCTTACTGATTAAGTTAGCGTAGTCTGAAAAGCGGAGACCTCTTGTTATCGGCATCCGTGTTTAGCAGCTGTCAAGGACTCATTACCCTTCATCTACATCAACAGATACTGCTACTATCATGAACTTTTTGCTATTGATCTGAGCAATAAGGGCTTAGGATAATTCTCTAGCTGGCTACCGTATTCCGGGGGAAGTTATCGCCTCTCTTGGATTCCTGACCACGAATTGCCCTCTCGATAGACTTGATTAGCAAGCTTACAGCTCTCCGAAGATAGGCACTGAGACAAGCCTCCTGTTTACTTCACATTCGTCTGAACTACTATATATAGCCTTTATCCCAAGGCTTTGAGCCCGCTGCGCTCGCTCAATAAACATGGACACCCCCGGTCTCGAATGCACCCATCTCACCTCACCAGACTATAAGAACTTCGTCCTGTCTATGTACGATCCTGAAGATGCCGCAATGGCCCCCGTGAACTTCAACTAACGAACACAGTCTGATTATATTTGGAATCCTCCTGTCGTATCTCCCTCAGCACATTCGCATAATCAACCTCAAAAGCTCCTTCGGGATCTCCCCATACTTCGTCCTCCTGGGAACCACATCAGGTACCTCGGCGTTCGCAAATGTTGCAACACAACAACAGAGTTTACAGGATGTGGAATGCTGCAAGAACATCAATGAACTAGCTTGCTTCGGGGGATTACTCGGCATCTTCCAAGTCGGGACACAGTGGCTCTGCTTTGTTACCATGTAAGCTCACCGACTTGTCTGTCCGATAGCAATCAGGTGGTTAATGCAAGATCGTTTACAGCCTACTTCTGTTTGTCATTTACTTCCCCCGAGCCACCTCTCCAACCTCGCCTACGGAGTCAGAATCTTCGGCGAGAAATGGCCCAACATATAGAACAGCCTTGGTCGTCAGCGGTATTTGTATCCTCCACGCCGTAGTGATGTTCATCACCTCTGTCGCAATCGCGGTCAACCGGCCATCCCAGCTTCAGGCATGGTCCAACTTCTCAGGGGTGGTTGCTGCCATCCTGGCTTCGATCCAGTACTTCCCTCAGATCTACACTACGTTGAAGTTGCGGTGTGTGGGTAGTTTGAGCATCCCCATGATGTGTATCCAAACTCCGGGAAGTCTTGTGTGGGCAGGCAGTTTAGCTGCACGACTGGGACCAAAGGGTTGGAGCACATGGGGCGTGCTGATTGTGACAGCATGCTTACAAGGCACGCTCCTGGTCCTGGCCATCTTTTTCGAATATTTTGGGCCCAACAAGCAGCGCAATCATCGCCATGGCAAAGATCTTCCTCCGAACGGTACTGGAGAAGGCCCAGAGGAAAGAGACCATGAGCAGCCGTCTGAGGAGACGCCACTTCTCCAAGGTCAGTGATCTATTAAGCGCAGAATCGACCGAGCTTTCGCATCAGGAACGGGCAATTTTCGACTTGTTTTTGCTTTGGATTTTTTCTAGACTGTATCCAGTTCAGATACTAGACCTTTCCCGAAGCTGCTGAGCAGCTCGGACTGCATTTTGTTGAAACCACGAAGGACAGACTGTATCAGCGAACCAATTTCGTGTCTTTTGACATAGAAGAGTACAAATTTCATCAACTATATTCATTTGACGAAACCAACGATAGAATAAATGCTTTAGGGTGCATGCAACGTTTGGACTGCCGTTCTGCGGCATCCATGAGAAGACATGCGTTAACTTCTCTCGTATTCAATATCGTAATGTGACCATTTCCTTCCCACCACCAGAAGTCTCACCCAGTGCCCCTCTGGCCAACCCACAATCCTTCCACATGAATTCCTTTACGCAGGGTAGATGAGTCGGAACATGTCATTGAAGACATAGTAGCTCTCACCCTCACGAAGAAGCTGGAAAGTCTGAGAGTAGCTCATGGGCTTCTGCTCCTCATCGACCTGTTTTGACATCAGTACCAAAACCGTACAACAGCGAATTAAACGGAAAAAGCCCAACGTACCAGCAGACCACCGGTGACCATGACCATGATGCCGCCCTCCGTGTTCGAAGGCTGAGCATCGAAGGTCGCGATCTGGTGCTGCACCTTCTGGAAGGGAAGAGACTGTCGCAATATTAACCCTCTGCACTATCACCGAGTCTCACAAGGGGAAAAGACGAACCGTCAACTTCTCGACAATGCCGCTGACACCCTGGACCGAGGAGGTTTCGAAGGTAAGCATAGAGTGGTCACGCTATAGTTTGTCGTCGTGGTCAGTTTCCGCAGGATATTCAGTTTCGCAAATGGCGACGGTGATTCGGTAATCATACGTAGAGACTGGCCAACGCCTGACGGTTGGTGTCGAAGGTCTGGTAGTAGAATTGCACGAACTGCTCTGTGGATTGAGAGGGGAGGGGTTAGAATCTCCTGGCCGTGTTTGTGAATCCGGAGCCAACGACAGAATACGTACGAGCAATGTTCTGGAAGTCTAAGCATTATAATAAGTTAGTCCACCTTTTCTTTTAATGTATGCCTTGTGAAGGATGGTGGTCGTGCATGCGACTGGCCTCAAGCGCTGTGGTGGGGTATAGGGAGGAGGGGCAGCAAAACATCAAGCAAAAATATAGCCATCAACAAAGCGATGACATGAATCAGGAATGTCATGGGGACTTACCGGCCATTTTGATGAATATACTCTACTTCAGGGCGGACGAAAGCAAAGAGAGGAATAAGAAAGGGATCTTTGTGAGTCTAAGAAGAGACGGATCGCAAGTTGATATTTGAGTCCGAGAGGGGAGAGGTGTGGGCCCTGAACCGTGAGGCTTGGAGCGTCTTTTTATCACCCGCCGACACATGTTCCTGCCTGAACATCGCATACTATTCCGGCCTGCTCTGCGCCGCTAAATGCTGCCTCCCCGGCCAAGTCTACGACAATAGTATGAATTTGACACATTTATGATCGTCAATTCTACATAACAGTACGTCACTCCGTGTCGGAATCCGCAAACATGTCCTCTGCCTTCGGTCGCGGTTTTCGAGCAGGAGGCCCGGATTCGAGCAGAGATGGCGCTTCGGATTTGCTGGGCGCCTCTTCCTTCGGTTCGGTCTCCATGGCCGAATCCTCCTCCAGCGGCTCTCCATCCGGTGCTTCTTCTAGGTCGCTGTCTTCCATAGGTTCTCCATCTATATCGCTCATAGGCTCTCCAGCCATGTCACCTCCTGCGGAAGCGGCATGACCTTGGTCGATGTCCATTCTGTTATGATCTGGTTGAGTAGGAGGACGCGAAGGGTCGAATTTCCCGGCTGTTTCGTCCTCCTCCAGGGTCTTCCAGCGATTCTTGCCCTTGAAAGCCGCACCAGCAGCCCGATCAGCCTCCGCTTTCGCCTTTTCTTCGCGAAGTTCCTCTTCTGTGAGCGGCGGCTTCTCAAATACCTGAGAGAAGTGTTCCTGACTCGACTGTGGAAACACGCACCATCCTTCCCAGAGGTGCAGCAGTGAACCTACGCTTCTCTTCCATTTCTCGGCTCGTAACCGTCCCCAGTTCAGGTCTTTTTCAAGTCTACCTAGGTGCTCGAAGACCCGGTGGGACTTTAATGCCGATTCAAAGAGCTGTCGATAGCGCCAAGCATGGCGCACACCGCTCGTGGCAGATGATGAAAGGATATCGGACACAAGGTAAAGCCCGACCAGCTTGGCGGAAGATGTATCCATGTTGGTTTTGGATGATGACGAGGCTCCTTCAACCGAAGCGTCATTGGATTCATTCTTGGAGGCTTCCTGCCGAGCGAGACCTTTTTCAATCTCGCGGTCAGGATTGGCCCCTGTGTATGCAAAGGGGTTCATGATGTTCGACACGATCATTTCCACCACTTCCTCCGCCCCTGCACCAGCATGTCCAATGGCAAAAGCTGTAACACGCGCAACATCGCCTTTCCTTAACTTCGCATGAGTGGTTGGGAGCCGAGCAAGGAGGTGTGTGAGTTTGGCTTTCTGTAGCGGGTTCATGTAACCGAGTCCTTCGTTACCAGTACCGACTCCGTCGGCTGGCGGAGCGCCCCCTAGGTGTCGTCTCTCGTCCTCCCCGTCTGACATCTCTTCGTCGGACGAATTGTAATCCTCATCGGAAACAAACTCATCCATGCGTGTGGTATATTCAAACTTGATGCCCGTGTCCGGCGATACCCAACTTGGGCCACCCTCAAATAATATCGATGCATTTTGACTCCTACCGCGCCGAGCCCCTTTAGGATTGCTGTTAGTGAGGATATCCCATAGTTTCCAGCGATAGTACACTCCTCCGGCGCTTCTTGGATCCCACAGCCACGCCCACTTCTCATCTCTTTGAACCTCCGGTCGACTCATGAGTAGGGCCTCAAATTCTGGGCCGTAATTCAATAGATTCTCCAAGGTCTTGTGTATCAGCCTGAGCTGCTTCAGATCTGAAGGTGTTTTCACTTCCACCTGCGTGACGGGCCCACTGCGACCATATGCTGCTCCATACGAGGTCGGGGGCGCGAAGCCACCACGGTGAGACCCAGGAGGTGGCGCACGGTTCAAGCGGCCTCCATACTCGGGGGTAATGGTCTTCGCACCGAAGGGAAGAGAGCTCGTTGACGACGGACCCACGGTGACCGGCATCGAGGAACTGATCGCGGCAGAGGAGAGATGCCTCGCAATCGAAAGATAGTATCCCCATCCTAGGTATTTGTTTTGTAGTGCACTGACGGTAGAGTCTATGTCCGAGGCAGCAGATTCATTCGCAAGAGTGACAATGGCGGAAATCGACTTGCGATCGGTCGGAGACTGGTTGGAGGGGCGGAGGATTTTCACGTTGTCGACAGATACCACCGGTGGAATGAGCGATTTGATTGCAGAGGGAGATGTCCCGGGAGGTAATGAAGCCAGATAAAGCGTTGGTTTCGCCGCTGCTCTCTCTGCCTCTTTTGCATCGGCTGCCCTATCCTCCTCGTCGTCCGAAGTGCGAAAAGCCGACGCAGCGGGGGACGATACTGAACCGGTGTTGTCGAATCCTAGGATACCCTGCGCTGACTCTCTATTCCTCTGAAACGGTTGGAATCCTTCATGAGTGCGTTTGCGAGATAGCGACGACGGGGGAGGTCCTAGAGTCCCCGGGCCGCTGCTTCTAGGACCTGAACTGGTAAAATGGCGTTTCGCTGGCCCACCTCCCAACGCGGCGTTTCTTCCTCCAAAGGTGTTGTTCGGTCTACCTCCGGTTGTGATTCGATCGGACGGTCCAGAATCATCCTCAAACGACTTGACAAAATCCTCGTAAACAGCAGCTGTCTCTGCTTGCTCTCGGGCCCGCTTGGCTTCGGCTTCGGCCTTTTGACGTTCGAAGAGAGATTTCTTAGGAAGGGCGGAGAGTTTGGCGGAAATATCTGGAAAAGCCTTGGACTTCGCGTCGTCAGGCATTGTGAAAGAGCTGCGTATGCAGCAAATCACTCGTCGTGAGCTTCGCGGTTAGCAGATGTAGCGTATCGTAGTGGCTCGCGAGTTGCAATCATTAAGAGGCTATCGGAGCGGAGGCGGAGATCGTTGCAGCCTGAGGCAGAACAGAGGCAGCTTGAATCCGATACAGTGCGATACCATCTCAACAACAATTACTCTCATGAACAGCATCAGCCATGGCCTCAGCTGAAATACAGACTCTGTTGCGATTTTTATCACAGGATGCCAAGCTACCATTGGCGTCTGCCATGGGCAAAGTCATGGATCTCCAGAAAGCCAACCTAATATCGTATGGGAACCATCCTAAGTCTCTCCATCAGATGCAGCTATCTAACATCGAGCAGCGTGGAGCAAATTTCAAAAGCAGAACTCAAGTCTCTTCAGGAGATTTTCAAAGATGACAAAGTTGCTAAACAGGTGCTGAACGCTGCCAAGAGAGTCTCCAAGAAGCGTCAAGCGCCAACTGGCAATTCAGACTCGCCACAGAAAAAGGCCAGGGGACCAGCTCGCATTGATGCCACACCATACGAGACTGAATCGACGCTTTCTTTGCCTATGTCATCGGCATCGGAAGATGAGCTGTCGCGGATCATTCTGTTGACTAACAGGGCACCTCTTGTGCTTGCATTTGCAGTCTGTGTCTTGAAATACACGATGCCAGAGCAGCCAATCTCCAGCAGACTCAGCCTTGCGCAAGCTGTCGTCAGTGCCAACAGCCGCTCGAAGGCCATCAGCCTAGGAATTGGAAGCGGCAAAACCGCTGAGCAAGAAGGTTGGGGTGAAGGCCATCCTGTGATCAAAGTCCTAGGGCGAGAGATCAAGGTTCTGAAACGGTGGGATTATAATCCCCAAGAAGGCAAACCAACAGAAGAACTAAGCTCAGAGCAAGATGCTGGGAATGCTGCTGCCGCTTCTGCCGCTTCTGCCGACATCTTGGGCAAAGGGGATTCAGATGGTTCAGACACATCGCCCCCTCTTTGGGGCGTGGATCTTGAAGCCCTGAGAAGTGCTCAGGGCAGTGGCCCGAGTCCTGCTACGAAAGGCAGCACAAGTCTTCCAATCTTCACGCCGAATTCTGCAAAATCATATCTCTACAGATCCTTTACTGAAGCGGCCACAGAGACTACGGAGACTGACATTGGCTCCAGCAAGACGAAACGCAAGTCGGGCAAGCAATTGGAAGCCGAGAAAGAGACTTGCTTGGCCTACTTGCTGCAAGCTATTGACCTGGTCTGCCAGTCCTGGGCCAGCACTCTAAGCAAAGAGGAGCTGGATAGACGTGCTTGGGCCTGGTATCTTCGCGTGAGACCGGACGTTCAGAGTGGGCCCGGAGGTTGGGGTGAAAAAGGGCAAGTGAAATTGTCGGATATCTTGGTGCTCCGAAGAAATCCTTGAACTGCCTGCCTGGAGCCAGCTGCAGCCTCACCAAGGAGAGCTTGCCGTCTCCGCTCTGCTTCTGCAGCGCGTGCTGCACTTTCCTCCGCTTCTTCTGTGCTCAGCTTCCCACTCACGCCCCGCTTTCACAGCGGCAGCAGCAGTTGCCTTCTCAGCTTTGGTATTCTTGGCACGCCGGGCAAAGAGCAAGCTCCCGCTACGCTTCATCCTGATCAGGGACCGCAGAGCGCCAGCTGTCCCCAATCCGATGGAAGTCTACCTTCCAGACAAGCAAGTGCTTGAACATGGACAGCCGTTGCCGCCAAAGTCAAGCGCGCCGCAGAGGCCGGAGTGACTCTTTCCTCATATCGCTGAAACAACAGCCTTCGTCGGTAATGGGGAGGAGAACCGCTGTGTGCTCGTCGAATACTACATACTCGCATTCCCTCACGCTCAACCAATTGCAACATCAAATACAGCAACACTGTATCGTATCTATAGAAATAGCCACGCCAATGAGCAGATATCGCTGGCTCGGTTTTCGTTGTTTGAGCCAATGACTACCTTGCACCTCCGTGCCTGACAGTGACAGGGTCTGTCGGAAAAGCGCACAAGTATCGCGGTTCAGCTAGATATTACTTAATGGGCGAACTAGACTTTGTAAGGCCTCGGGTTCTAGGCTTGTCGAAAGGTACTCCGGTTCCCGAACATTCATATTTGAAGAAGTCGGAGAAATATCGACAAGGTGGATCAACGGATCAACTCTTCTCATCCAGGGGAGTAAAAGGCTACATTCATTGCCATTGGACGGAGATGTATGTTCCTGTACTAAGCCCTCCGAACCAACTTCAGAGTTTGATTTCCTGATCCAATGAGGTTTCTGTCCATTTGATGAGGCAGCCTGGTACCTGAGACGACCAATCAACCGTCGGGTGCTTTGCCATAAATGCTCGTCTGGTGGGAGAGTATCATGGTTCTCCGTGCGGATTGACTTTTCACGACTCTCTGCCTTTTCCGCCTGTACCGAAGCTAAGCCTTCACACTGACTCCTGTGAGGAATTTCGATGACAACCCTTAGGATGTTCAGTCAGCTATGCACCTTTTCGACTACCATATCTTAGTGGACAATCTCGATGAATACTAATGACGCATCAAACGGACACTCGCATTTCACAGAACTTCCTCAGTGGTCCACTGAGATTTAGGTAGATAGAGTTTGGCGTCCCAGGTAGATTGGGTTCCACCGGAGGCCCAGAGAATCGTCCATCGGTCGATTCCATGAAATTTAGTCTATCTTGGATATCTAATTCTGTTCTATTGCCTTCTATGGTAACTAAACTGGGTTTTGGAAGGAGTAGTGGGGGCTGGGGGTTGGACTAACGCCTTAGGTACCGCACCTCTCGATGTGTCTGTACCCTGTATGTACTTTTCAACATCGTTGAAAGTTGTCAGAAGTATGCTCATAGATATCTCTAGAGTGAAGAAGCATCGATCGGAGAAAGATGCCATAAATAGTATGTATCTCGTTCATCACATCATCATTGCAGGAAATGGACACCCGGAATGGTGACTGCTCAATCCTCATAGGGTGCTGTTTTCTATGGCGTATTTTAACTTGTTTCAGGTTTGAAAGGTCAGGCTTGTAACCTAATTACGGCTTGGCTTCGTCATAATTAAGGAGAACGGAGAACGCCTTCTATGATACTCATCCCAGTACTTCTGAAAGTACCTTAGCGAAAGTCGTCGGCTGTTGTAATGATCTTTGATTGACAATTTTGTATAGGTACCTTACCTAGGCTCTTAGCTTCCAAAGCCGAAGACGTTAGAGACTGCGCCACAGGAGGGCTGGGACGCTGGGTTGACTCTCCTAGAGACAACTTGTCAGAAGTGGCGAGTCTCCGCAAATTACAACGCAAGTAGTATCTATTTAGGTATCTTACTCGTAGCAGGTCTCAATTATTTGTATTCATGTAAGAAATACAAATAGTTAGATGGGGGATGAATGTCATCATCAACAACCTAATTTAATCAACTACGGAGCACGGAGTACATAGTATCATCAGAAACCAACATACCATTCTCTGCAAGATAACCAACTCATGGAGTCCTTCTGTCTAAGCCAGAAAAAGAGCTCACATTTGATATGCTCATTTGTTCTGCGAACGCAAACACCCTCCCCGTTTCTAATTAGTTGAGACGGAGTTCCTTCTTTTGCAGCCAACTCCCTTAGTTTAGTTTGTGTCTGGTGCGCTAAGGTGACCTAACCACTCCCAGTACTCCGTTCTCCGAGGATTCTACCAATTGCCAAGTCTCCCGTCTCTCTCTCGTTCTCGCTCTCCCTCTTTCTCCTCCCAGTGAAACCCTTCAACAACCACTACCACCCACCGTTAACATCACCATCCCTCATTCCTTAACTTAACTACCATAATCTTTTTGTCTATTTGGATAAAATAATTCTTTTCTCCTTCTCGACGTCCCGACCTTTCGCTTCAGCCCGCTCTGATCCCGTTCCTCTCGTGATTCATCTGCCTAGATTCCAGTCAACCCGGAACAGTCTCGTTCAGGTGACTGTTTCCACCCCCCTCTCTGGCAGATTGACTTGACATCAGAGGTGGCCCGACAGGGCTGTCTAACGCCATGTCTGGGCGTCTCTCTTCAGATCGCTCGCGTTCCTTTTCGCAATCCTCGCAGTCTCTCCCTCAACGACACTCTCAAGGGCCGGATTCCGACTCCATGCATCATCGTTCTCCTTCCGGTCGCTCCTCGAACGTCAATGTCTTTTCAGATGAATACTCGCTGGAACCGATTGACTCTGAACAGTCTACCCTCACTCCGCGCAGCCCCTCAATTTCGTCCACCGTTTCATCTCACACGCTTCGCTCGGCTGCCCTTCCCCCTCAGAAAACATACAACACCGTGCCCATTGATCCTCCAGATGTGACCGAGAATCCGTTTGGCGACGATGCTAGGGTCTCCTTCGATGACACACCCCATCGATCAAGTCTACCCCAGAAAGGGGGATTGGATTTTTCTGCCCGCGACTCGACTGCTTCCAACAACACAGATACCTCCGTGGCTCAGCGCAGTCAAAGTACATCCTCGCGATTCTCCTTACCAACTCGCGCAATGAGTCCTTACACCGGAGCGACTGGTCCCAGTCACCCATATGCGATGTATCCGCAAGTCGGTGTCAGCCGATCGCCCAGCATTGCTACTACATCAACAGTACGACCGATGGAGCGACCGTTGGGCGATTCAAACGCCCCGCAACACCCATATGCCATGTATTCGCAGGCTGTTGTGCCGGAGGAGGGATTGGATGCTCCCATTCATGATTCGGTGATCCCGCTCGGGTTTCCCGGACACGAGCAAGCCTATCAGCGACCCCCTGGCCGTGCTGATGACGATGTTGGAGATCTCATAGGGCCTGATGGCCATACTGAGCAACTTCCTCCTTATTCACGGTACCCTGATGGGGTCCTACCGAAGGAGGAAGAGACGTTGGATTCTGGAGTTGGTGCTGGCATCATCACAGAAGAAATAGCGCATAGTACGTCGCGGGAGCCCCCCGTCTCAGAGACTTCCTCTAGGACTTTAGTAGTGGGTGGGAATGCGGGAGACTCGGTGAATGGAAATGGAAACCCGCCTGAAGAACATGAGGAGCCGCCCGCTACGGGCGTTATGGCGTTTGAGGAAAAGTTGAAAAGCAAAGGCAAGAAGAGGGTGTGCTGCGGATTGCCAATCTGGACGCTGGTTCTTATCAGCATCGTTATCTTCGTGGTAGCGTGCATCGCAGGTGTCATTGGGGGCGTCCTTGGGGCGAAAAAGGCGGCGAGCGAGGAGCGCTCGAAGCCCAAAGGCCCTGACATCGTCACAGTGACAGCTACGCCCAGGGCGGATGCGACGCCCATCTCATCGATGCCGGCGAATGTGTCGCCTGTGCCGACAGGCGAGTTCCTCATTCCGGCCAGTCCCAAGAACCAGTCGAAATTTTGCATTGCTGAGTCGGGTTACACGGCATCATGGGGCTGCATGGGCCGCAGCAAAATCCCGATCCTGCTTCAGGGAGAGGATGGTCATCGGCACAATATCACTTTCGAACAGCGACCCCTGAGCTCTTCATTTTCCTATGGTGCCCAGGCACCGATTCTGCCCCAGACCCAGCAACTGACCCCGGCCTATGATTCGGGCGACATGGCCCTAGGCCCTGCCCTTACTTTCTTCACCTTGTTTGACAAGCTGGTGATTGTCCCTCAGGGAACCTTCTCTTCGAGTCATGCATCGAAGCGCTCTGTCTCAGAGCGGGACGTGATGGCTGAGTCTTTCCATCGCAAACAGGCAGTGCAAGCAGGCGATCGACCGTGGTTTTGTTGGTGGAATGGCACCATGATGGAATTCTTTTTGTACACGAATCAGACATCCAAGCATGCTCGGCAGAGCTCGACAGCTTCATCCGCACCAACCGAAACGCCGCCGCCTCAGAATGGGAAGAGAGGCCTGACATCTCTTGATTCCTTATCTGACTATCCCCGCCGGATCAAAATTGAGGAGAAGCGAAACCACCCTGGCTCCCGAGCGCCCTACTGCCAGCAGATGCAGGTGTTGGACGACGGATCGATAGCAACGGCTTCCCCCGAGACAATTGAGATTAAAGAAGTAGAACCGACGCCGACAACGACCCTCAAGGGCTATGGCAGTGCGACTCAAACTTACACAGCCAAGGCACAATATGAAAGCGTGTGCTACTGCGCATCATTGACCGATTAGGTCGACTTGTTGATATGCAAATCTCTTATCATGAAATGTGTCTTTCAGTCGAGGCGTTGGCGTTCTCAAAGGTGCAAGTAGCTGTGTCATGTATGATCTTCACGACTTAATCCGCCAGGGGCGATTGATCCCAATTTATTCTCTGACATTGGCGTGCATCTTTATTCCTACGAGGTTTCTTTTCATCTGACCGCGTTCTCGGTTTATGTTCTCTGCCGAAGTGTTCTGACTCGACTTGAGCTCGAATATCCCTTCCTCTTCTAGCATTTCTTGTCTGGGGATATCATTCCGCGGCGTTCACACGGAGGTTACAGTGCATAAAAGGCACCATCCTGTCATTCATGCTTTGGGCTAGTCTGCTGCTGCTATTTTTGATCTCCATCGGTTTCGTTACAGCTACTGGTCAAGATATCTGGGTTACAGCGATAGTATGATGGCAATATCATCACGATTTGTCTTTTCATTGTCAAATGGGACAATTGAAAATGCCCGAGGCTCGTAATTCCTAATTTTACACCTTTTTGTATGCTTCAATGAGTTGAAATTATGGGGTTGCCCGCATTCAGGTGAACCGGTGATCCGCAACGGGGATGACTATGTTCAAACGTCATTGTCCCCGGTTTAAACAGGACACGGCACGCCACCAAGCCTCATATGAATCGGCATTTGGGAGGTTTAGCAATGAAATAACCGGTTGTTGATGATCCGGCGATCGGTTTCTTGATAGTATAAATACTTTTCTGAGTACCTTAACTTTGCGTGTTCGGACCAGCTTACACCCAATTATCTGTGATATACTCCAATATACTACGACAATGAATCCAATCCTCCGCAGTAGCCTCAGGTCGAAGGCACTCAAATCCACGACTCTCCCAATCTGCCGCCAGAGGAGCCTCTTCCCTCAACCATGGCGGTTCTACTCTCAGAGCTCCTACGGCGGTGGTGAACAGAAACCAGAAGGCAAAGCAGAAGCTAAAACGAGCAAACCTACGCGCGATATGGAACATCCAGGTGAGTTTTTCCCGCATTTGTAGCTAGATGCTCTCTTTGCTTGAGCTTCGCCTCAGTATGATTGCTTCAGCTCGATTCTGACTGCGACGCAGGCCCCCCTCCCCCGGACGTTAGCAAGGGCAAGGGCTCATCCTCGCCTTCATCTTCATCTTCGTCATCCGGCGGTGGCCCCAGTTTCCAGAACCAGCCCCCCTCAGACGAGGAAACCCGCCGCAACAACGACGGCGCAGAGGTGTACCCGCACGCTACGAACAGACCGTCGAACAACGCCCGGCCGACCATCAGCAAAGGGCAGTCGCCCAACGTCGACGAGGACGGGAACCCGCGTCCGGATGTACCCGAGGAAGTGAGGCGGCATAATGACGAGATCGAGAATCGGCATGATCGGGCGTATAACAAGCTGGAGGATGATGGGAAGGTGGAGAAGGTGTCTTGGAAAACTGACAAATAGAGGGGGCAGGGTGGTCTGGTTGCTGCTTGTTTCGGGGATGGTTGGTTGGAGCTGGGGGGTGGATGCTGATGTTGATGCGGTTGAGTAGTATGATGACTATCTTACCGGGCGCTGTGAGTCTGTGGTCTTTATATGAGTTGATGCTTTACCGGCCCATATGGAAGGTTGTGATAAGGTCGCAGGGACACTGTGTGCGCTGAATTGACGTCTGTACCATAAGTTTGATACTGTCTGAAATTGCATCTTGACAAAGATTACATTCGCGTATCCATTGACGATGTAATAATTGTAATTCCAGACTGGCTATCACTGTCTATGTGATTCGAGTCAAAGGCGTATGCGGTGGTTGACTCGAGTTGAGCTGAGGCCACTTATATGATTTGATAACGACGAACGCGGAGCTCCCGCACCAGTTCGGGGCTAACTTACAGTCTCTCAGGGGACTTGCCAACACCATTTCACTCACTGCACTTTGTGCTCTATCCCGGTGTTGATACGATTTGAACTATAATCTTTCTATTCGATTGTTTGTTTTATCACTTCAGTAAAATGACCGACACAAAGAACAAGTACTCGGTCATCCTGCCGACGTACAATGAGCGCAGGAACCTCCCTATCATCTGCTGGCTACTGGAGCGAACATTCCGCGAGAAGTAAGAATCATTTTACTGGCTGCCTTCTCAGTCAATCAATCGCACGAGGCCAAAAGCTAATCTGTCCGTTCTACAGCAACCTAGACTGGGAAATCGTGATCGTCGACGACGGCTCCCCGGACGGCACCCTCGAAGTCGCCAAACAGCTGCAAGCCCTCTGGGGCCCCGAACACATCAACCTCAAGCCGCGGGCCGGCAAGCTGGGTCTGGGAACCGCATACGTGCACGGGCTGCAGTACGTGCGCGGCAACTATGTCATCATCATGGATGCGGACTTCAGCCACCACCCCAAGTTCATCCCCGAGATGATTCGCATCCAGAAGGAGACGGACGCGGACATCGTCACGGGCACGCGGTATGCGAGCCGCGAGGGCATCAAGGGCGGGGTGTATGGGTGGGATCTGTTCCGGAAGTTCACATCGAGGACGGCGAACCTGATTGCGGATGTTATGCTTATGCCTGGTGTGAGTGATCTGACGGGGAGCTTCCGGCTGTACAAGAAGAGTGTGCTGGAGAAGGTCATCCACAGTACGCAGAGTAAGGGTTATAGTTTCCAGATGGAGATGATGGTGCGGGCCAAGGCGATGGGGTTCAAGGTTGCGGAGTGTCCGATTACCTTTGTCGACCGGCTGTATGGGGAGAGTAAGTTGGGCGGGCACGAGATTGTCGAGTATCTCAAGGGTGTGTTGAATCTGTGGTTGAAGGTTTGATCTGACTGTCGCTTGCTTTTTGGGGATTCTCTTCATGGTCGGCTTGGACCGCGACATACTACGCCATACCCTTATTGTCTCTTAAGTTTCTAATACTCTCACTGCCATGTCCCTTGGATATCTACTTGCTGCTCTGTTTCGGCCTGTGTGTACAATAAAACATGAAAACTACGACATCATTTCATTCCACTACCGTCTCACATGGTGCAAAGCTAGATACTCTTCAGATACCGAGTAACGCGCTCAGCAAGATCAGCCTGCCCCTGATCCTTGACATTGTGACTTGCCCCCGGTATGATCCCGCTATTCTGATCCCACGTCCCAGGCTTCAGAGCTTCTGTCGCCTCTCTCCACCGCGCCATCAGCGCCTCCTTATCCACCCAAGGTGCCGCAAACTCATCATTCCCCGAGTACAACACCAGCAGCTTGGACCTCAATAGCCCCCGCGTCGCCACGGCCCCAAACGTCTCACGCAGCCGCTGATCCGTCAAATCCGAGCTAAACAGATCATCCTCCGCCGGCCTGCCAGGACTATCCGGGCTCGTCAGACTCAGGAACCGCCGCGCACTGACAGGATCAGGCGGCAAGCCAACCTTGCTACTCAGATTCAGCGGTAGAATGATATCACCTACGGGAGCCTGCCGCGCCAGCGAAACCAGCTGCTCCCACGAGCCCTTTGCCTCGGCACCCACATCGCCTGGCTTGCGCGTTTCAGCGAGCATGGCTTCACGATCGGACACTGGCGCTTGCAGGATCGCACCGTCCACTACAGGACGGTCTCCCTGAGTATAGAGGTAGTGCAACACGTCCTGGCTTCCGGTCGAATGGCCCATGATGACGATCTTCCCTGGCGCCGATGCCGATCCCGAGGCGGACGAGGCCTTGAGGCTGCGGACGAAGTCGATGCATTTTGCAATCTCCTCGACATCCTTGTCGAGACTGCCGATGCCCCAGCCGCCGAAGGACGAGGAGAGCTGGGCCTGGAAGACGGACCAGTCGGTTGGTTCGAGGGCGGCGGCGAGGGGTGCTACGTAGGGTACGGTGCAAAGGCCGTCTGTCAGACCGCCAATGAAGATGAGACTGTGTGGTTTTCGGGATGTGGAGGTGGTGAATTCGAAAGCGACTAGCTTTGGGGCCTTTTCTTCAGTCAGCTTGTGCTTGATCCATTGACGTGTTGGATGGTCTTTGTGGAATTACATATTCATGCAGTGTTCCTGAGTGTGATTTGGACATGATTGAGCCTTTGTTTCGGATATATAAACAAGGAACTATCTATTTTGTTCTTGAGAAAACTGATCATCAATTAGAGAGGTACTGTGTAGATAGATAATAGTTTGTTCGTGGTAGGACAGGCAGATCTGTCGCAGAACCGATGATATCAGGACGCAGCTCCACTTGAGCGGCGCCTACCTTTGGAGTCAGTCCTAGATTGCACGTCAGGACAATGGGCAATGCAACTGAATCAGTCTTTATTGAAACAGCAAACACAGTTCTCTTAAAATATAGACATTTGTTTTGTTGATGCGACACCGATGATGTGGGGTATCGATGAGGTCACTGGCTGCTTTGAGGATGTAAAATTACGCCAAGACCCTCATCTCCTCGCACTGTCGATACGAAGATCTTCCCGTCGTTTTGTATCACGAATAGCTCTGTTCCTGCCGACCAAACAATTGGTACATTCTTACCTCTATGCCATCTTTGATGAGTATGATCTGTTCCCACTTCAGAGGATCTGATATCATAAAAAGAATGGTCTACCTCTCGTATACATATGGTGAATAGTGATTGAAATCGTCACTTTCAACAACATCATCAAGAAGCCAGGGCGTTAAGGGATATCGCCAGATGCCTCGTACACGCAGGTCCAACCGCCTATCCGGGGCGAGGACCAGATACACAAGCGATCCCTTTGAGGTTGCGGGAGTCATTGATGAGTCGGACTCGAGAGAAGGAACCACTCCTTCTCGACGAAAAGCAAAGCAGCCTGTCCGAGCAGATGATTCCTCAGACGAGGAGTACAAAGAAGTCCAAAATGAACAGGACGAAGCTGAAGAAGGCGAAGATGAAGACGTAGAGATGGTGGACGTCCCCGACGATGATGATGAATTCGTCTCCGACGAGGAGGACGAAACCGATTCAAAGAAGCCCAAAACGGCCGGGATTTCGCGAGTCAAGAATCCCAAGCGACGACATGAGGACGGCTCTGTCGCTATTGCTGAAGATGAGACTCACTTCCGGGGGACGTGGAACCCCGGCGAGCATGTGGGAAAGCTCACCCACATGAAGGTGACCTTTGGGTCTGACGAGAGGGATCTACTCTCCATGGCGTATACACGGGACCGATGGGCCAAGGGCGTTGATTCGACGTTTCCTACGCGTTCCTCATTGAATGAAGCAGAGAGATTTCCTGACTACACGTATGGCGCGACCTTTGGTGTTGAGCCGGAGGAGGTCAGGAAGGAGAGCACTCGTGGTTGGGACTGGTACTACGCCGATGATGTTGGGGGGCGGTTCCGCAAGAGACAGCGGATTGAGAAAATAGACGAGGAGGAGGCTCGCTCGCGGTATATGGCACAGCAGGAGAAGAAGCAGACGGTATTAATAGGGCCAGCGGACGCTCAGAAAAAGTTCCGGCTAGGGCAGAATGAGTCCGCCAATTTCGGCGAAGCCTGGAAACCTGGGGCGCAGAAGAGTGGGACAGCAAAGAATTCAGCAGAATCAAAGAAACCGCCACGCGAAGGGTGGCTGCTCAATCTGGGACAGAAGATTCAATGCATGGCTTGGGCACCCAACCAGTCGGGTCTCACGCAGTACCTTGGCATCGTGGTGCCCATCACCAAGGAGCAGAAGGAAAGCTACCCAGACCCATTGAAGAATCAAGCCAGTCGCGCGTTCAGATCTTCTGCTCCTTACCCCTGTGCACTGCAACTGTGGGCATTCAAAGCCAAACGAGAAGACAGCTTTACGAAGACACTTGATATGAGCATTAAACCGAGGCTGCGGTTGGCTCTGTGTACTGACTGGGGTGACTTGCGACGAATGGCTTGGTGTCCTATGCCCCGGGCTGCGCGGGACGAGGATGACGAAGATCCTTTGAGGAACCTGGGACTTCTGGCTGGAGTCTGGGGAGACGGCTATGTCCGAGTTATTGACGTCAAGCTGAGCCGGAATCCAAATGCCACAGAGTTCAGTAAGCAGAGCAACAGAGGACAATGAATAGACCTTCAACTGACAATCTGTAGACAAGGTCCACACTCCAGTTTTCAAGGCCAAGCCCCCGTCGACAGTATGCACATGCGTGGCTTGGCTTTCTCCCACTGACATTGCTGTTGGCTGTGCCAACGGCTTTGTTGCCATCTGGAGCATTACAGCCTCAGAAGAAACCTCTACAGCCTCTCTACCTTGCTTCTACGAACCAATTCACCGCACTTATATCCTGAATCTGGCATCGGCCTACCCAACTCATCCTCACCTGCTGTGTACGACATCTATGGACGGGGAAACCCGTCTGACCTCAATCGTCGATTACCAGAAGGACACAGTGGAAACGACCCGTATGCGAATGGCGTCGCCCCATGCTGCCTACTCTCCCTTGCTGCATGCATTCATCTCAAGCGACGAGAACGATTTTGCACGACTCCTCGCCGTGCGGCGCTTCTTCACCACAACGGCCATGGCAAGGCTACCAAGTACGGTTTCCGCTCTTGCGCCGTGCAGCTTCTGGCATCCAAGCGTCCTCCTGGGCTGCGCAGGCGGCGAAGCCATTGCGACAAGCCCCATCCGCCGATTAGTGCACCCCAAAGAGAAACAGTGGCAACAGACCTGGTTCACCCACGAATGGGCGCGCGGGCAAGATGCAGACAGCGCGGGGACGAGTCGATTCATTGACGGCTACCGCGCTGAGAGCTTCAGTCTCTTGCGTAACATGGTGGGTGATCGTAGGATGGTCAACGGCACAATGATGATTACCATCTTTGACGAACCGAGGCACATTACTGCATTGACGTGGAATCCCAACCAGCTGTGTGCGGGATGGGGCAGTGCTGGGTTGGGATGTGGATTGATTCGGGTTGAGGATTTGGCAATCTGATGATCCCTGTGTCATCCGGTTATGTTGCGACCAGGGGAGTAGTAGCAGTGTGGCCATTTAGATCCATTGTAGCTCTCGGTCAGAGTATAGCTATGAAATGCCTCTGTACCTGACTACTTCTATGAGGCTATCCAGTAAAGCGTAAAATATGAGAACATGTAACAATAGTTTTTATGAGCCAATCAGAAGGCCAGAAAGTTAATAGTCAGAAGGTAAAAAAAGTTGAACATAACTTTGTAGATACAGTATCACATAGTGAACACTAGTTGGCTCTTTTCAGTGCTTTCAAACTGAGTCTTAGGTAGAGGTCGGTCATGTACCATCAGGGCTTTGGTCCGGTCTTACCCTGTATAGAGACTGCAACGGATTTGTTCTCCCCTCTCTGATCTACCCTCCAGTCATCTGTGAGGATTCATACTCCAGATGGCGGGACTAAAGAAGGAGGCAGTGTTAGACTGGCTCGTACGCTACCATACTTACTATTCAACCATATCGAGTTCACCAACATCAGCCGGACTGTCGAGTGGATGCGGTGAGAACATGCGAGGCGACAATCAGCTCCAACCAAACCCTCTTGCAGTACGGTGAAGCAAATTGACTGCTGCCTATGATTGATACTAAAGATACACAATTTTGACTGATCGCCCATCATGACGAATCTTCTATCAATAGCATGAGAGATACGTAGAAGACCCACGGGCAGTGGATCCCGCCAGCCACAACAGCCGTCCGTTAGTGCTTGGCGGCGATGCATGATCAACTGTGTCTGTACCACAACGTTAATGTTGATGTCGAGTTCTACTGTTCAGTCAATCATAATAGTGCCAAGCAACTGTCGGCAGGATCAACATGCTCAAGATCGGCAGTTAACTGCTCCTGATGATTGAAAAGCGAAAAGGTATGACATGACAGCTTAGAATCATCGTGGCTGGGCCAGTGCGATGCGCTGCTGCCTTTTCCCAGCCTCCTTGTGCGGATCTCGGATTAGTGGATTCAGTCGATGCAGGCCATGATGGCTGCCAGCCTGCATGATTTTTGGTATTCTTTTTCTGTTAAATCATGATGATGAATATGTACATCGAGTTTGGCATTTTGGGATATATATTGTTGATCACCTGAAGGTGTAGCGGACTTTGAGTATCATCAACCAAATCTCCTCTGCACATAAGTACCTTTCTTCGCAACGGCCTCAGATTTACAGCATTTTATCCTGTTCTGTTTTATTTTGAAGGATCTATCTACCTTGCCTGAAGAATGCATTTCTCTCCCGCGGCGATTCTCTTCATCTCCGTCCTCGGTACACAAGCAGTGCCCCTAGCCTTCCCCAGACTAGGAAGCAACACACTCGTGCGCAGACAAGAAGAGCCCTACTCAGTTGTTAATGTTGGCGGCGCCAGTCCCAACGGCGTCGACACCAGCTCTGCGGTTGAGACCCAGACCCAGACTGTGACCGCTCCCAGCATCCCTCAGGCTCCCGTGACTGTCACGGTGACCGATATGCCAACATCGACATCTACACCAGTCATCACACCCTCTTCCTGGGCCACACCTTCGTCCAGCTCATGCATTCCATCATCAAAAAGTCTGTCAGCTTGGCCGACACCTTCGCCTGGGGATGACCATTCCGTCTACCCTCGGAGCTTCAACCTGACTCGCAAATCTCCTCTGCCCCCTAAGAGCTTCCGGAGAGCGCTCTCGAGTACAAACAGCACCGGCCTTCATGTTTTCAATGTTCGCAGCGACAATGCAACTGAGGCGGTGCCTATCTCAGCTCGGACTTTGTTGAACGGCACAATCGCAGCTCGCAGCGGTGTCTTTGCGCGGGCTCTCAACCAGACAGGCCGTGTGTACTAAGCGATGCGCAGCTCACCTTCTTGTCTGCTCGAGAAAAACTTGGAGAGCCCTGTACGAGTCACTGTCGAAACAGTGGAATCTCCTCAGCGGCTGACATAATGACGGAAACGACCACTTGGATTGACGACTTTTCCCTTGATGTGTCCATATGCGAATTTCAGACTCTGACGACTTGATGTGTCACGATATATTTGAACGGACATACGGCACGCTCATGATTTGCTTTCTGAGATGATCTCTGTTCATGATTGTCCATTGTATTCATTCGATTCCTGCACATATTGGTATTTGGGAGAATGGGCTTGTTAAATAGATGGCGTCAATAGATAGAATGTGATTTTAGTCAACATATCAGGAAATTCAGACACAATACGTTAAGCTGTACAAGTATCTTCGAGAAGCCTTGTCGATTATTGGCGAAAGAGCCACGGGGCAATACGTCCGTACCTGCAGGGGGATGAGCGTTTTACATGGCGCATCCATTTCCTAAGTTTTGAGTTGGAATAGTAGGGGGCTAAAAAGTAGTCGAATCAAACCTCTTGGATATATTGAATTGATGCTGTCTGGTGTGGTGGATTGCGGCAGCGTACTCAGAATAGCTCTGCCTAGCACCGTCAGTCCACGTTGGCAGCCTGAGGCGGAAAGAAGCTCGACCCGCGATGGCCTCTTGATCTTCTCCATTCGCAGACACCTCCACTGAACCAGTCATTCTGCGATGGTCTCTTCTCCTTAAATGGACTGATTAAAGGATCGGAATTTCTTATAAATATCTGTACCTCTCTACAAGTACTTTATACCCGCAACCGTCATTGAAGGTCCTCCTCCGCACCCCCTCGTCCTCCTTCCTCGGCCAGGTGTTTACCGCCTGCATCCATCCACGGTGACAGCCCCGTCATACACCTTTCGAGTCTAATCGGTCAATTCCGTCATGGCCAGTCCAGTGTCCCCTCCAGAGGACCAAAGTCGTCTCCTCGAGGAGGCCCTCGGAGTGGTCCGACAGCAGTCGCATATGATGCGAAAATGCTTGGAGACTCCTGGGAAACTGATGGATGCGCTCAAGTGCGGGTGAGTCGATAGAGGCTCCCAGATACAGCGGAGTTCCTAGAGCGACATTGCATAATACTGGAGAAGTGAAGAGTATAGATCAAGCTAACGGTGATCGTCAATTGCTTCCAGGTCGACGTTGGTTTCCGAACTACGAACGCCCAGCTTGGGTCCCAAGCAATACTACGAATTGTACATGGCGGTTTTCGATGCGCTGCGACATCTCTCCGTTTATCTGAAAGAGAACCATCCGGTCAACCATCTAGCTGATCTGTATGAGTTGGTTCAGTATGCAGGCAACATCATCCCGCGGCTCTACCTGATGATCACGGTCGGCACGGTGTACATGTCGGTGGAGGATGCTCCGGTCAAGGAGATCATGAAGGACATGATGGAGATGAGTCGAGGAGTGCAGCATCCCATCCGCGGGCTGTTCCTGCGATACTACCTGTCCGGACAGGCGAGAGATCATCTTCCCACAGGCTCCGGGGATGGGCCCGAAGGCAACCTGCAGGACTCGATTAACTTCGTCCTGACCAATTTCGTCGAGATGAACAAGTTGTGGGTGCGGTTGCAGCATCAAGGTCCCTCCCGGGAAAGGGAAAAGAGGATGCAGGAGCGCCGCGAGCTGGAACTGCTGGTGGGCAGCAATATCGTCCGGCTTAGCCAGTTGGTCGATCTCGAGCGCTACAAGTCGGGGATCCTGCAAGCGCTGCTGGAACAGGTTGTCCAGTGCCGCGATGTTCTTGCGCAGGAGTACTTGTTGGAAGGTAGGGAATCTCTGCTGCTAGTGGCTCTCGGAGCAGTGAGCTCATGCTAAGTTGTTCTAGTGATCACAAAGGTCTTCCCCGATGAATTTCATCTCCATACGCTCGATCTCTTACTCTCGGCAATTTCTCGTCTCAACCCGCACGTTGACCTGAAGAAGATCGTGATTGGACTCATGGACCGTCTATCTGCCTACGCGGCTCGCGAGACAGAATCGACCACCGACCCCGAAATACGAAAGCAGAATGAAGAGGAAGCCGTCACAAAGTTCCTCGAGAATCTGAAGATCACGGAGGAAACCAAGGAGGCCGAGACAGCAGCGACCCAAGAGGCTCCCACAGGCACAGCTCAAGAGAACGGCGTTGAGCAGCCGTCAGCCGAGCCGTCGAAGGAACCCTCGAAAGACACAAACGAACCAGAAGCAGAGACCCCGGAAGGCGAGCAAGTGTCGAATGCAAATGGCGAGAACGATGCAAAGCCTGGCGTCCCAGCAGATGTCAAGCTATACGCCATTTTCTATGACCAGGTGGTCAATCTGATCAAGACCCGGGGCTTGCCAATTCAAGACACCATGGCATTATTAGTGTCGCTTGTTAACCTGGCTCTGAATACCTACCCTGACAAGCTGGAGTACGTGGATCAGGTTCTCGATTTCGCTACGCGTGAGACAGCCGAATATGCTGATCATGCGGATCTGCACGCGGCGCCGACCCAGCAAAACCTCCTTCATCTTCTCCTCGCTCCTCTTCGCTCTTATGTCTCAATCTTCACAGCGTTGGCATTGCCCCATTATCTCCCGCTCCTGACTTCTCAATCCTATCCCACACGACGATCTGTAGCTGGCGAAATCGCCCGGAGCCTGCTCAAGAACCGAACCCTGATCACAACGACAGAGAACCTCGACCGCGTCCTGGGGGCATTACGAGTCCTGATCAAGGAAGGCTTGCAGCAGGCTGTCGGCTATCCTGGTTCCCAGCGACGAGGCGGAGAAACGGACGAAACCATCGAAGAGCAGGGATGGCTCGCTCGGTTGGTACATCTGATACAAGCGCCGGAAAATGATGTCCAATTAAAGGTACGTTCCTTAGGGCGAGACTGAGATCAGTTCCACCGCTGATTATTCATAGCTTCTTCAAGCTACACGCAAAGCGTATGCCGACGGCAACGAACGCATCCGATACACAACGCCGGCCATTATTACTGCATCTATTCGACTGGCCCGTAAACTCAAGTCTCGTGAACATTACGACGACAACTGGCAGTCACAGTCCTCCGCCCTTTATAGGTTCATGCACCAGTGCGTAAACAATCTTTATCAGCGCGCCAACCCTGGGTGCGCTGACCTGGCACTGCGCCTGTTTGTGATGTGCGGCGAAGTGGCCGACCAGACGGGATTTGAAGAATTCAGCTACGAGTTCTTTGCCCAAGCATTCACCATTTACGAGGACTCCATCAGTGACTCGCGCGCACAGTTCCAGGCTGTATGCATCATCGCCGGAGCGCTCCACGGCACCCGGGGTTTCTCCAAGGAGAATTACGACACCCTGATCACCAAGGCCGCGCTGCACGGAAGCAAACTGCTCAAGAAACCCGACCAGTGCCGTGCCGTGTACCTTGCAAGTCACCTGTGGTGGGTAGTCGAAAACCCCCAACGAGGCGAAGAGGACCCCAAGAACGTATGTCCACTCTATCCCCTTGCTTCCATGTTCATTGCAACTAATCTAGTCCCTCAGCTCTACCGCGACGGCAAACGCGTCCTTGAATGCCTGCAGCGGGCCCTCCGCGTCGCAGACGCCTGCATGGACACCGCAGTCTCCGTTGAGCTATTCGTCGAGATCCTCAACCGCTACGTCTACTACTTCGACCAGCAGAACGAAACCGTCACAACCAAATACCTCAACGGCCTCATCGAGCTCATCCACTCCAACCTGCAAACCAACGAGGACGAGCCGAATCCCAGCCTCGAGGGTCCAAAGCGTCACTTCCAGCGTACGCTGGAGTATATCCGCTCCAGAGATTACGAGGGCGTCGTCACGGATCCGAGACAGTGAATTTGTCCAGGCACCTTTGTGATTTTTCGGGAACGGAAATGATTATATCATGTATGAATCGTGAAAGCGTGGTTACCTTGTTTTCTTTTCTCCTCTGTATCTGTTTCGCCGTTTCCTGGCAGCTTTGATATCAGCCGAAGCTTGTACTGAATGTGAATGAATCCCGAGACGCTTGTAACATTTCCCCCTGACTGGTCTGTTCGGTTCTACCAATATAGGTACAGCGTCTTCTTAACATGGTATAGTCATTCCTTTTTATCTTCTGCCAGATGACTGAATGGATTGTCACGGTAGACCGTCAAGCCCTCTTAGAGTTCACTGTACATTTACCTGCCGTTTACACATTGTGGCGACTGCAGCTACAGTTAAAATAAGAAATAATGACTCATCGATCGAAGCCGACCATGCAATTGGATTGGCTCGGAGGATATGTGTGCTCCATGGGAATCGCCGCATCATGCGCAATAGACAATAGGACATACAAAACATAAAATGCCCGTGGACGAAACGGACGATAGAAGAAAAGTCGACTCGGACAAACAGACAACAGTCCATGACGCGAACAGAGAAGACGTGAGACATGACATGACGCTTGACAGACGTGGAAAGTGGTTATGAGAATGGAGGGATAATGGCGTATGATCAGTGAGTAGAGGAGAGGAAAGGAAGGCAAGAGAGGCATTTAGTCAGTTAATCGTCCAGAGCGCAGAAGTCCGATAATGATGATGATGATGATGATGATGATGATGATGATGATGAAAGTGCAAAACAAACATGAACCCCATTTACACCCCGTTAGATGCTGGACCCAAACAAACGCCTTTAGAAACCCATTGGTGGAGAAGAATACTGGCGCAGCACTGATGGTGTCCCAATTCCGCCAAACGCTGGCAGACTACTGCTCGGGACTGGGCTGCCAATCTCTCCGGGAACGATGCTGCCCCTGTGACCTGAAGCGGCACTGTTGTTGTCCGGCTCAAACTTGACAAACTCCCGCGTCTCGTCCTTCTTGATCGAGAAGGTACCCCCACCATTCTGCGTGTTGCCTTCCGTATCGCAAATATCTAGCATCTCTTTCAAGGAGATCGAAGGCTCGTTTTGTGGCCTCAGCTGCTCAACCTGGCGAAGAACGAGGTTCACGTCATGATAGCCGTCCGCACCCTTGAAAGGACTCATAGTATTGAGCTGTTTACAGGCCTGGATGACTAACAGCCGAATGGCGACAGGCCGGGATGTGTGAGCACGGTGGTGGCCTCCGGACCCAAATGCGTTGTTAGACCAACCGCTCGCTATGATTTACGTCAGTATTCGCTTCCATGTAAGGGCACAGGATTTCGCAGAGCAAACTGACCGTGTCCGGTTCCCCAAGTCTGAGCACTGGGAAAAGCAGACGTCCCGAAAGGGATCTGTGCACCCCATGTGCCACCGCTTACTGCAGGACTCACCGCGAAATTGGCGTGTTTTGATGCTGATCATATTGTTAGGATATCTGTCACACTACACAGCTCCCAAAAGATACTGTGGTCTTATAGCCGGAGAACTTACCACTGAGGGGATCCGGAAACAGAGATGGTCCACCGAAACTGGCCCGCGCCGGTCCTGGAAAAGTGCCGGGTGCTGTAGCACCTGGTAGCGACTGCGACAGAGTCGAGGAGAGAGGAACATCAGTGTCATCAAGGAGAGCACTGCTACCAAGATGGGCGCTCAAATCATCCACATCTCGTTGTGTGGTGCGATCACCACCCTTCTGCTGGTCCTGTTGGGTGCTGGATGGTCGTTTGATAGGGCTAGGCCGCGAAATTGGCATAGGCTGTGCGTGATTCTCCAGAGGTGACCTCTCAAGTGAGCCGGAGGGTTGCCTGGAATGGCGGTGGGGCAATCCACCCTGCGGCGTCGAGAAAGCTCCAGGAATCTGCTGGCCATGGAACGCAAACCCTTGTCCGGGCTCAAGCGGGAATCCGCGCCCAGGCGGCATTGGACGTGCCCCATTGATACCTGGGGGTGCGGGGATTCCGCTTGGTGCTGGATAGCCACGGAAAGGACTGATGAAAGGTCCCGAATGCGGCGGATAACTGGGCAGATCATGTCCAACTGGTGGTCGCGCGACCATTCCAGATAAGCCCGGGGGGTTAGGTGGTATTCCGTTGACGCTCGAGAATCCAGGAGGAATGGATCTGCCTAAGGGGGACAAGGGCGTAGAAGGCTGAGGTTGATGAAGCATTGCATGCAGTCCGTGGCCTTGTTGCGAATTCCCACTGGCAACTCCCGATGACTGAGACACGGGCATCGAACGAGGAGAAAGGGAGGCCTGCGACGGGTCGGTGCTAGGGGCTTGGGAGTGTGGCGAGGAGGAATGAGAGTCTTGTTGGGATGGCTGACGGGGTCTGGCAGGAGTAGGAGCTTTAGGTAACACAGGTGTTGCGGATGGGACGTGCGGCGAATGAGCGACAGCCGGGGAAAAGCCCTGAAGATGATGTAAATTCGACGGAATAGGGACAGGTCCCTGTTGCGACGACCGTTTGGCTTGATCATCACGCTTCTCCTGATCTTTGGCTTCCTCTCCGCCCTTTGCTGTATCCTTCTTGGCTTGTTCCTCCTGAGCCTTGCGGTCGCGCTCTTCCTTTGCCTTCTTTTCCCGCAATTCGCGCTCTTCTTTTTCTTTCCGCCGGGCCTCTTCGCGTCGTTTCTTCTCCTCGCGCTGCTTCCGCTCCGCTTCGGCCTGTCGCTCTCGTTCCTCACGCTGACGTCGAAGCTTTTCCGCCTCTTTGCGCGCACGCTCCTCTTCTTGGGCCTTCCGTTCTGCTTCTTTCTTCTTCCGCTGCTCCTCCCGTTTCTTTCGCTGTTCCTCAAGTTTCTTCTCCTGTTCCGCCTTGGCAGCTGCTTCCTCTGCAGCCTTCTCCGCTTCCCGGCGCGCGCGTTCCTCTTCCTTGGCCTGTTTCTGAAGTCTCTTTTTGTCTTTCCGTTTCTGCGCTTCCCGAGCTTTTTTAGCATTTCGCTGTTCGTTCCGAGTCTCCTCCTCCATGAGTTCTTCGATCAACTTCTGTTGCCGTTGCTCGGCGACCTTTTCTCGGTATGCGGTCAGGACGCGTTGCTCGAACATTCGGGCCGCAAATATTTGAAACATTCGTCGGCCTTCTTCCATGCGTTGTTCTTCTGTCATGGCATCCTGGAGTAGAGGTTAGCGGTGAACTAAGAATAGTGGCCGAATACCACGAACGGGGGGAACAACTCCAGGGCAGACCATTTCATCTTCCTCGTAATCCTCTTCCTCTTGACTGTCATAGTCCTCGTCTTCCTCGTCGTCGTAATCTTCGTCGTCGAATGGACCATGATTGTGACCGCTATGAAGGGATTCGTGCGCAGCAGCTATGCCGTACTGGGTATCTTCTTCCCGTTGCATTCGACGTTCGGCCAACTGCTCCATCATGTCGATGAAGTGTTTCCCATCATTCTTCAGTAGATCGTCTGCAACTGTAAGAATACCATCTATCTCGGAGAGCGAGGGGAAAAAGCAAGAAATCAGTACAGGATTCCGTTGGAATGTTCGAACGCTGGGGGCACATCAGCCTTACCTTTAACTGTTAAGCTATTACCGAAGGCAAAGAAATCTGCGCGAGCTGCACGAGTTTCCTCGTCTTCTTCGTCAAGTTCTTCGTCACTGTAAGGCTCATCCCCGTCATCTTCCTCCTCATCGTAGTCCTCCTCCAAATCATCATCTTCTTCTGTCAGTTCATGAATGCGACCTCGTGAAGGATGAAATTGGCCTTGCGTTCGGGTATGTTGACCGGGAGATCGTAGTGGAGGTTGGTACAACCGTGGCGGCGGTACCATAGGGGAACCTTTTTCAAACGATCCTTGATTGTGATTGGCGTACTGTTCTAGCTCTTCGTAGTAGGCATCGTAGAGAACCTCGAGCTCCTCCTCGATAGCCGTTCGCTTTCGCCCACATACCGTACAACTGCACGAATGGCGTTGTTGCTCCTTCATCTTTTTCAGAACGGCATCCTTTTCCACCTTGACGAGCTGCCGTCGCTCCTCTTCTCCTAGCTCGAGCCAGAACGTCTTAATATTCTCACGTTCTTCCTGAGTAGATGTATTCCAAATGCTGCGGTTTTTGGCAGGCTTCAAAATATTGTGAGACGCGAGATGTGAGGGGAGAGGTGGCGGCAAAGGGTGCGACATCGAAACGGAAGGGGTGGACATGGGAGTCGAGGTTTCGTCTCCTTGCGCGTGAGAATTATTACGCGCTTTTTTCCCTTTCTTTTTCTTCGATTTGCGGCCTGTCGATTTCTGAGAGCTCTCCGTGCCGTTGGGCCCTTGGGGATTTTGTGAATCAACGTGGGCATCCATCGAATCCTGACCATCCTTATCATATACGTCACCGTTCGTGGGCTGTTCGTGGTCGGGTCCGTCAGCGCCACCATCGTCGGAATGATAACGTTCTGGATTAGCATGACTGGATCCGTTCTGAGTAGTGTCATCCGTCGATACATGTCCGTTTGCTAGTTGACGCTCGGCCAGGCGAGCTGCCTGTTTTTGTCTGCGTTTCTGCTTCTTTCGGTTTACCGGTGCGGAGACTGTGTCTGACGGAGAGGAAAGGTGGTGGTCTTTCGGCGCGTGAACGTCACCATTTGTGCTGGGCGCTGCATGAGCAGTTGTTGACGAACTGTTCAGCATTGTGGAGCTGGGAGAATGTTGTGTATGCGGCGCAGGAACCATGATGAACGAGTTCGCAAAGATATCCGCTCCCGGAGAGCAAACAAGATCGTCGAGAGGTAAAGAGGGTCTAAAACCCTAGCTGTCCTTGATACTCCCACTTCCAAAACCAAAAGCCTTGCTAGAGCAAGATCAGCAAGGGTAGAGTACAGCCGAGCACAGACAGAGCTCACCGGCGAGCAGTAAGCGGAGTATATTGCGATCAAGAGAGCTGAACGAAGAGGATATCCGATGTCAGCAGTCCCTATCAAGGGTGAGACACTTGCGAGTGAAAGGTGGGAAGTTAGGATAAAGAGAGGAGGAGATCCTGGGCGGACAAAATGGGGAATAATGAGGGCGGAAGAGGGGTGGAAGAGAACCCTTTGGCCGCAGGCAGGGGAGGCGGGCAATGTCCAAGTCAGGCGACAGAAGAATATACTCCGTATTGGAGGTCGCTCCGGGTGACAAGGAGGGGATCTCGATAAAGTATTAGGATCTAGATGGGAGTTGGGGGAAAACGAACAAGCGCAGCCAGAGCGGGATGGGGTTTGAAAGGCTGGCTGCCACTGGAGAATGGAGATGGATGATTGATGGGCTTTGGATGGTGGATCTTGACGCCGTCTGGATGGCTGGCGTGCCGCTGGCTGGATAGCCGCCGCAAGCGAGATGGAGGCCTGAGGATTTGGGTCTAAATTATTGTGCCTGAGGTGTCTATTACAATTTCTCTCTCCATCCGTTTACTCAACTACGGAGTACCTGAGGTACCTAAAAGGCAAGGTAGATACCCAAGTAGATGAAATCAGATAAAAGTACTTTCTTAGGTTCAGTCTATGACCATTCTGCAGACAGGCTAGAAGCAAGGCCTTGTAATTTCAGTGACATACGGCATACTAAGCATTATAAAGCAAGGACAGTCTTGAAAATCGTTCTGGAACAATCTTCGTGACTGTCAAATTCATCAGCAATTGTTCAAGGTATCTGGACTGGATACCGGACTGGCCGAAGCATGGTCCTGGTATAATTGTCCGCTGCTCTAGGCTCTATCTAGGTAGCTCTATCTACGGAGTATAGTCTAGTCTATGCGCATATTAGGTATTATTTATTACTCCCGTCTCATCTTTCTCTCCACATGCATCCATTTATAACAACAGTTATGGTTCGAATGCGAAATGCTACAGCACCTAGCGTAGGCGATTTGAGACAATTCTTTAATAAAGCCGCTATTTGTCGGAAGATATGGCCCATGGGGTCTCTTCAGCTGCGCCAACTACGGGTCGATCCCATCCTTTGCTTTGATTAGCATTTTCTAAATCGGCTAGATTTTCGGCGAGCTACTTTTGTATTATTTAAAGCCTACTACTTCTCCTCTCGTGGTCTTTACATAAATAATCCTAGGTACCTCTTGGGCTACCTGACATCTGTACTGTACTGTATACGGAGTACCACCGGTAAGGTACCTTACTTCTGAAACCAAACTGGTATTACCAAGACATCTCCGCCAGAAGGGAAAGTGGTAAACTCCTCCCACTTCCCCCGTGTTGGTCGATCATCAGCCTCACCTCGACCGCCTTCCTCAAACTCGTTATCATCCTCCCTTTCACTCAAGCAATTTAGGGGGAGGGGAGTATTATTTTCTATCCGAAGAAGCAATTCCACCACCTTCTTCCATTCGTTTCGTCGTAAACCGTCCGGTAATTCGGTATTTCGGTCAGATCTTACGGTTGCCTGATTCCGCTAAGTTTCGATATCAGCCGGGGCTGAACAGTGAACAACGCCCTCCCCTTGTCATTTCCCCATCTAGAATACCTTCGCTCGAATTTCTTCCACACTCTCATCTTCAAAGGGAGCCGTGTCTTTCGGTCATTTGTGAGGAACAATGGCTCAACAACAAAATGACAATGTGATGCGGAGGTATGTACAAGGCCCTCTCTGGTTGTTGGGGTGGATCTCTGTGGTCCACGTCCACGTCCAGGTCAATACAGGCGGTTTTCGGCCTCGTTAGTCGCACCATCCTTGTCCTGGTCTGGAGGAAGCAAGCCATGATTTCAGATTGGCATTCTCTCAATGATACAATATGCTGATCTCATCCTCAATGCAGAAAGCTGGTCATTATTGGGGATGGTGCTTGCGGGAAGACCAGTTTACTGAGTGTATTTACGCTTGGTTATTTCCCAACTGTGAGTCCCTCATCCGGATGTTATCTCATAATTTGAAACTGGTTTGTGAACTGTGGCAGCTAATGTGTTCCGTTTCCAGCACTATGTTAGTACTCATGCATCCTTAATCCGCTTCCCTTTCGCCAGGAATATAGCTTATGACCGTATCACCAGGTTCCCACAGTATTCGAAAACTATGTCACGGATTGCAGGGTTGATGGTCGATCTGTTCAGCTAGCTTTGTGGGATACTGCAGGTCAAGAAGACTATGAAAGATTGCGGCCACTCGCGTATTCCAAAGCGCACGTTATTCTGATAGGATTTGCTGTGGATACGCCAGATTCCTTGGAAAACGTAAAGCACAAGGTTCGTTCATGTTGGAATCCGCCAAGTTTCGTTACTGGTCAACTCACTAGTTCCGTCTGCAGTGGATTGAGGAAGCAAACGAGCGATGTCCCGGCGTACCCATCATCCTTGTCGGATTAAAGAAAGATTTGCGCGAAGATCCTCTGGCGATTGAAGAAATGCGGAAGAAGTCCCTACGCTTCGTCACATCGAGGGAAGGGAGCGAAACTGCCACGCAAATCGGCGCCAGGAAGTACCTCGAATGCTCGTCGTTGACAGGGGAGGGAGTAGACGACGTTTTCGAAGCCGCTACGCGAGCCGCCCTTCTTACATTCGATAAGCGGAAGACCTCATGTTGCATCGTGCTATGACATCCGATAGTAATACGACCTCAGCTGCCACGGACTCATCGATTCAATTTTATTCTATCGGATCTCTCAAAAAGAAGGAGCAGAGAAAGATCATTTGGTGGTCGTTGACTGATCATCGCAACTTGCATCACTGGCGTTTGGGAGGTTCTCTGTTAATATTTTTCTCTTGCGCTGTCTTCCCTAGGGTATATCTTCCTGTTCACACTCTCCTTTACATGAACACTTGCACTCCGGATTCCCCTCCTTTGGTATGCTTCCTTCTCGACTTTGGAGCGCTTCGTCTCGTTATGATTCTCCCTGCGCCTCACTTTGCTTCTTTCTTTTATCTTTCCTATATTCATCCCCTTTTCTGATGCTGTCTAGCGTCTTTTGCACTTCATCTATGTCTTATATCCAGCATTTTGACACATACTGAACTTGCTGATGTCAATTCCGGCTGTACGTCATGCTTGTGTCCAACCTGAGCAAGAGCGAGGGCAAAAATTGCACAATGTAGTTATTGGCTTTAAAAACAGTCTATATCGGTGAATCAGATCCCCATGAAACTAAACACTCAGAACAAAATGACCTATAGTACATGCCAATACTTACAAATAGACTCAACAAATCAGGCTTTCCATTGACCGCCGCCCACCACTGGTAGAAAAAACATGACTAGTATTTCTTTTCCATGCGCTTCCACTCATGATTCCACCCCTCCTTACTCGGGCCCTCGGTCTGCATCCGCCCATACTCAATTGGAAACATATCCCTATATACCCCGCGCTTATTCATCGAGATCCGGAACAGCTTGCCTCCATCCCCAGCGCCCGTACGGAGCTCCTCGCACGCGGCGTTCATCGCCTGCCACTGGCGCTGCAGCTCGAGCTGTCTCGCGCGGCGCTGCTGCGCTTGGTACAGTTGCCAGGCGCGGTGGATGGTCCAGTGCCGGAGGTAGCGGGTTCGCGAGAAGCGGAGGGGTCGGGGGGTGAGCGGGTGCCAGAGGAAGTAGCGAATTAGCGCTGTGGTACGTTAGTTAGCAGCGGCATTGCATCAACTCCCGTTCCCATTTCTGGATCCCGTCGATGCCTCTTGAGCGAAGTGGTCGTGGTTCGGGGGGGAAACTCCCAAGAGACAAAGTACTTACTGATTCTTTTATCGCCGCGAGGAGCATTTTTGTTGCGTTTCAGTAGGGCGCTTGTTGTTGAGAAGGGCCGGCTCCCGATGACTGCTGCTGCTGATGCTGCGGGCTGAACAGGAGCGGTGGGTTTGCGTATTAAGAGGTCGTTGCTGAGCCGGCTGATGGCTGGTCGGGCGGGGGCTTGGGAGAGAGGGATTCTGAAGACGTTCGCCAGGGAGGCGAGGACCGGGGAGAGGGGCCGCATTGTGCGTGGTGAGTGTTGGATTTCCTGAGGTAGACTAGATGGGCTGGTGGAAGTGATGGAAGGCATTTTGGTTTTTGGGATCGGCGGCGGAAAGTTTGATTAGCCGCGCGCTTATTCAGATCTAACGCTACCAGCTACTGTTAACTATCTATCTACGGCCGAGATTGATTCCATCTCGTGTATAATATGACTTAATGCCATTATATTGAATTGATTGTGTAATTCACAGTTCGTGATATCGCCTGCAACAAATGCCATTGAGGTGCCTACCATGTGGGAATCTAAAACTCCTAAATCTGAGAAAAACCTTGGCATCCGTTGTCCGTTGAAGATCCGAGCGTAGAGAGAGTAGACTAGACAAATCCTCCAGGGTAATCCCAACCAACGCCAGTGAAATGCATCATCGTCATATCCATAGTCATGAGAGTAGAGAGCGCAGAAAGCGAAAGTGACAATGTTTTTGAAAAATTCGAGAAAGCCACTCAGTGGTCCACGACTTTCCTCTTCTTCCGGTCGTAGTTCAACACCTTTCGTTTCCTGTGTGTCTGTGCAAGTTTCCAGCGGCAGTAAAGTACCAATGCATCCTTCAGCAGTACAAACACGCACCCTCCGATGACACTTCGTCCCCACCGCGTCTGCAGCAGACCAGGTCGGCCGCGCTCCAAGGCTGACGGTGCGCTTGTCCACGACTTGGGGAGAATATACTTGAGCAGACCTCCCATGGATGCCGAAATTGCTGGAAATGCGAGAGCTCCAAGAATGATATCGGCAAGGTTGCTTGTTTCATGTATGAGGTCGTCTCGCCGTCCTAGTCCCAGATTGTTTTCATTTTGGCCGCCTCCTTGGTTTTGCCCGTTATTCTGGACGTCTTCTCCGGCATGGAGACCCAGAATACCCTGACGTACATCATTACCCATTCCAACTTGGAACTCCAGATCGATTTCCATCAATATCTGGCCATTCTCAGCATCGTTTCTTCCCTCCGGATGCTCAGGTGGCGCATTATCATCAAACTCGTTGATATCTGCTTGGCGCGGTTGCACCTCGGCAATCCACTTCCTTTCCAGCTTGCCGAATAATCTTTGATAGACTGCGCTGTAAAAGCTTTTAACATAGGGAAGCGCAGCAAAAGTCATAGCAGCACTAGGTGGCCACAGGTCAAGGTCGAGCTCCTGGGCCGAGTTATGCGTCGCGAAGAACAGGACTGGGATGGCAGGTAGAAGACCCTCGGCATAGCGAGTCCGTGAGAAGATGAGCACGAGCGGAATCAGTGGTAACCCTAGGTTCAAACCCGAGTTCCAAGTACCATCCGCCGTCTCTTCCAGAATTTGTCTCGCTTCCTCGGTCCCGAAAACGAAATACATCGAATAAACGCCGTGTGCGCAGCATCCCGCCCAAACGGTACCCGCCAGAGTAAACACCATACCCGGTAGAACTAACCGTCCAGCAAGCCGCTCGAACATCCGAACGACGTCAACGATATAGCTTCGCGGACGAGAGACCACAATTTCAGATTTACACTGCGGACACACCATCTTGGCTCCGTGACCATTGCGTTTGCGGGACCGAGGGTTTTCGAGATCAGCGAGCCAGTCCAAGAGGCAAGCCTCGTGAGCGGTCAAAGCGCAGGGACAAGGCGAGCGCCATTCGGAGTTCAAGGGGGAATCTTCCGTCTCGTCGGTGTAACAGATCCAGCACTTGCGCGGTTCTTCATTCACGGACTCAGTGGCGGTCGAGCTCGGGACAGGAGATTTGCTGGCGGTGGCGGTGTCAGAGGCGGCAGTTGACGCATCCTCGCTGGATGCGAGTGGTTTGTTGAGTAGAACTGCCTCGTTGCCCTCCATGGATTCTGCGGGTGAGGCGCTTGTGAAACTGCTTCTGTCTGTGCTCGCGGTAGTCTCATCTCGAACTGATGTGGCATCCAATGATCGAGCTCTGCCAATAGTGGCGGGATATCCGGGGAGAGAAGCCATGGTTGCGACAGATCGTGGTGAAGAAGACGGTCGAGCAAAAGGGAAGAATGGAAATCCGTAATTCTAGAAGATGAGATACGTGCCTGGCATCGTGCAAATCGAGGTTGTAGCTGAGTCACAAACCGAACTACAGGACTTAATGATGATGATGATGATGATGATGAAAAGAGGGGAGATAGTTTATTCATCACTCAGTCGTCAATCGGAGGGCGGAATCGATCTACCGCTTCCTCGGATACGGACCGCGGCTTTCAAGGACTTGCCTTTGATGGCCTCAGGAATCACTGACGACAGGGAGTGTCACGTGACAGTAGACATCTTATTGCATGCGATCACCTCACTACTGATGGCGGATATCGTAGCATAACAAGCCACCTGCCTCTATTATCATCTAACTGGGATTGACGGCGTAGATTTGGCAGAGCAGTATGAACTTGTCTGGGTGTTCATAGATGTAATCTTCATTTCAAATCTTCAGAGACAGTCTGTGATATCAGTCATCGATTTGCCCATCCTTTCCTAAGACATACATGGAAGGTTTCCAACCTAAGTAACCTTCAAAAAGCAATGATAATGTGCATTATATACAAGCTAATGTCCGACAGAACCAGGGGCAGATTTTTCGCAGGATTACAATTGACATGCCAAGAGAACATGGAAAAGAAGGGGCTGTGAAGAAAAATGGACCGAATAGAGTGTCACTTTTGAGTCCCCTTATGATCTTTCCCCACTTTCATGAGGGAGGGAGAAGATTTTGTGTGAGAGGCTGGATGTCGATTTAAGCATACATCTCCGCCCAGTCGCGTTTTAGAACCCGCCAGAAACGCCATGGATATCAACAGAAAGATGAAAGATCAGTAAGCAATGTCGCAAAGCCGAAAGCGTCTACATGATCACTTGTGAAGGTACTCGGGGGCGGTTCTGCTTCTCAGAAGGGCCTTTCTCTCCTTCTCCTTGGCTTCATCATAGACCAGGAACTCGTGCAGGGCGCTACCAGCGGGAACCATGGGGAGCACGGGCACCTTGCGGTCGGTGAAGACCTCAAGCAGAGCGGGACCATCGCTCTCGATCAGCCACTTCAGCTTCTCCTCCACCTCAGAAGGCTTAGTGCAGCGCTCAGCAGCGACACCCATAGACCGAGCCATGGGCACAAAGTCAGGGTTCTTTTGGTGGGTATGCGAGTATCGGTCCTCGTAAAACAGGTTCTGCCATTGTGTCACCATGCCCTGCTCTTCGTTGTTCAACAGGAGGACCTTGACGCCGATGTTGAACTGAGCAGCGGTGGTAAGTTCGGTAAGAGTCATGTTGAACGAAGCGTCACCATCGATATCAATGACGAGGCAATCGGGGCGTGCGACCTTGGCGCCGATAGCAGCGGGAAGGCCGTATCCCATGGTACCGAGACCACCAGAGGTAATCATGGTACGGGGATGGCGCCAACGGAAGTGCTGGGCAGCCCACATCTGATGCTGACCGACACCAGTAGTGATGATGGTGCGGTCTTTGATGGGGGCGGTGAGATCGCTGAGTTTCTCAATCAAAGCCTGGGGCTTGATGGGGCCCTCCGGGCTCTGCTTCTCGTACAGAGAAAAGGGGAAGCGGGCTTTCCAGTCATTGATCTGAGCAAACCATTCTGGTCTTTCAGAGACCGGCTTGACATGGGGAAGCAGGAGGCGGATGTTCTCAGCACAGTCACCCTCCACAGCCTCGTTGGCCTGAACGACCTTGTTGATGTTCTTGGGCATGATTTCGAAGTGGACGATTCCACCACGTTTCTCAGAGGCAGCCAACTTGGCCTGGGGAGCAAACTTGGAGAGGTTACCAGTCACACGATCGTCAAAACGGGCACCAACGGCAATGATCAAATCGGCTTCCTGCATAGCCATGTTGGCGTACGCAGATCCGTGCATTCCCAGCATGTGAAGAGCCTTGGGGTCAAGCTCATCAAAGCCTCCGAGACCCTGCAGAGTGGTAGTGACAGGAATGCAGGCCTTGTCCGCCAATTCCTTCAGCACTTTGGGACCATCTGGGTGAGCGAGGAGACCCTGCCCGACATACAGAACGGGCTTCTGGGCAATGTTAACCAGGCGGGCGACACGGTCAATGCTGCTCTCGAGCTGCTTCATGCTGAGCTCACGAGCAGCCATGGTAGCAGCACTCGGGAGGGAGGGGATAGTGCTGTTCATGGGAATGGGCTTGCGAAGGATGCCAGCGGTGATGTCCTTGGGGAGATCGACCAAAACTGGTCCCGGGCGACCGCTGGTTGCAATCTCGAAAGCCTCCTGGATCCGACGAGGGAGCTCCGCAACGGACTTAACCATAACATTCCATTTGGTACAGGCTCTCGAGATACCGATGACATCGGCCTCCTGGAAAGAATCGGTACCGATCGAGCTAGTGGGAACCTGACCACAGAAAACAACCATTGGGGTACCGTCAGAAAGAGCGTCCTGCATAGGTGTAATGACATTGGTGGCTCCTGGTCCGGAAGTAACGAGGACGACACCGGGTTTTCCAGAAGCACGTGCGTAACCTTCGGCCATATGTCCGGCACCCTGTTCATGGCGAGGAAGAACGAAGTCAAAGTGCTTAGAGTTGTAGATGGCATCGAACACGGGGAGAATGGCACCACCGGGGTAGCCAACTAGTTTGCGAGTTCAGTATACCGTCCGTTGAAGGGGGACTTTAACAAAAGAGTGGTAAGCGAGGGATGACTCACAGATGTGCTTAACACCAAGTCGGAGCATCATCTCGTGGAAGATCTGTCCACCACTAAGACCGACAAACCTGCTCATCACGATAATTAGGCTCGTTCTAAACAATCAATTGATGTGACGCCTTCTGAATTGACATACGAGTCGTCCAGCTCGGGTAGCTGCCGATTTTGCAGAGGTGAAACTTCATTGCGATGAGGCTCCTGGTTGAAGGCGGGACTAGGAATAGGTCTTGAATTTCTAAAGCATTGAAATGTCAGTGTCTGTGGACAAGAACTTTCTGGGAGTCCTATCCCAAAGAGAAAACTCACGAAGCCGTAGCTGTTGCAGTGCTCTGGTTGCGCTTTTGAGCAGAAAAGCGGTGGGGCGAAACCGTACCGGCAACGGACGAAGAGGTGAACGGTCTTCTACCAGCAGCAATGTACTTCTGGTAGTGGAAAGAGCGCAGAGCGCTCTTTGATGGTCTTAGAGGCATCATCTTGATGGCGGATGACTGCCAGGCCAAAATAAGAGAGAAATGGAGGGTTTGGGGAGAGGAGAGGAGATGGAATTGCTGGACCAGAAATTCAGTAGGGAAAGACGCCCAAAAGAGGCCGAGTGAAGAGTCAGACTTCGGGGGAGAGGATCTGGACCAGCTAACCGACAGCGGCCTAGCGCGGCCTAAGGCCAATTACCTTAACGCCATTATTGGACAGCGCACTCCGATGTTCGGCGTCCGTCCGCTTGTTTGTACATCACCTGATTGGCAGCTTTCTAGTTAGTCATAATGCGGAGTACTACCTAGGTACCTCACGGAGCACAAGCATGGACCTTGACTCTTCAGACACACCTTGATGCTTGTCTACAAAATCAGCTGGGAGCATGCACACCCAACGCTGATCATACAAGCCGAGTTACAGATCAATGGATTACAGATGCAGTATATCGCAGTACATCCAGCTTAAGGTAGCTTTGGACATTCTTGCACGCCAACCATAATCACACGAGGAATGAGAATCCTTGAACCGCATTCAACAGTCGAATTTCTGTCTTTCTGTGTGCGGCTTATCGTTGGCCAGACATAGGGTTAGCACTTTCGAGGGGCGTACTGATGACTTGGCGTCATGAGCTTCAGAATATAGCGCTTGTAGTCAGGTTGGTATTGAGTATGGCTCAACGTGTATGACCCTTGCTTAGTCTTGAGCTTGTAATGCTCCTAACGGCAAGAGCCATTTTGCAAGACGTGCTCCAAACGCCATGACAGCTGATGATCGCGTCTGTGCTCCTGGAGACGGATTTGTGCAGAAGAGCTGCATTAGAAGCGGGGTAGATGCCTGCCTGGTGTTCCTCGCGCAATCAATCCTTAAGGGGATTTGATCCACGAAGGTACTATAACCATATTCACCGGTCCTTCAATCCATTGAATGCCACGGACCCAGCATCTTGGTACTCGACCGTTCAATAACTGAGTTCTGGATCTGCTTCTCAAGCATGAGAATGTATGGGTCAATGTAACTCACTGATGCCAAGAGTGAAATTCCAAGCCTGTCGGTTACTTGAGGTTAACAGCGAGACAATGTTGCAGTCCAATGTCAGGCCAGGCCATAACAGTTTAAGATAGCACCTCGTGGCATGATTATCATCCAAGGTAGACCAGTTTCTAACGTGGCTGAGCTAAGGTACTCGGCGTAGGTAGTTAATACCTTCTTCGAACCCCGCATGCCAGCTGTCATTGATAATTTGCTGGTGATTGATTGCTCTTCCGTGCCTTATTACTGAGTACTCAGCCCACGCTAGGCCCTATATGGAGACACAAAGTGGACAGTGACTGGGGTGGTACCATCGAGTGAAGCTATGTATCTCCAAGGATTAGGACCAGATTTGGCGTCTAAGCATGGAGACAAAGGCCAGTAAAGAGATGAAGCAAAAGGAATTTGTCTCATTCATTATCTTACTGGCAAAGGACGATTGACCCCTTTTGACTCTACCACGGCTAGTCAGAAGAGGTCACTGATAGGGGCATCTGTACCTTCAGTATGGCGCCTCGGAAAATTATCGTGGTATCATATGGAAGCTGATGGTGGGTCCTTGTATTGCAAGTCATTCGTCTTGGTTGCAAGCTTTCTGAGGCCTGGTCCCCCAGGCATTGCTGTCCTGTCCATCTTGTTGGCGCCTCCGTCTGCCATTGAACCTAGTCTACAATGTGACTCTTCATTCCTCGCTTCCCACAGCTGTATCATAATAGATTCATAATAGATTAGTATGATTCCAAGTAAGAATGGTGTACAGCACGGGCTAGGTCATCAACATACCACTACCGCTAAATGAGCCAGCCGCAAAATTTCTGACTCTATCAACTATAACCACACGTGCGGCTGTGGTCTTCAACTTCCTAAAGACTCCCGGCAAAAAGCTGTCAGAGCGAGATGTAGTTATCTGTCCAGGAGATACCGCAGCAGACGATGTTGTTGAAATGTTGCGTGTCTTGTGCAAAATAGGGTCCATAATTTCCCTTAACATCTGCGAGGTGATTATGACATCCCTCGGTGGGACCAGGGGGCCGTTCATAGAGGGCCGCAAAAGGAAGTATCATGGGATCACCAGTCACAGTAGTCGCCGTCACTATCATTTCGTGCACGGAGTAGGCGCACTCTCATGGTAATGCGATGTATTGATGATCCTCCCTAAGAATAACTACAAGCTTCGATTCTTTCAGCAGGTCTTCCGCGTCTAGTAGATCTTTGTCGTCTAACCATGCATTCTCATGGTCGTCGTATCCGAGCCATTTGACAAGATATTGGGCCTTGGTCTTCCCTGATTTCGTCATACGGGTTCGCTTTGCGACGACCTTTATCAATTTCGTATTCATCCTGGCCTTCTACTTGGATAGGGCCTGGTTTATCCGGTGTGGGACGTCCAAAGGGTCTTGATCTGACGGGTAGCGCCCAAGGTGAATGATGGATATCACGGGATGGATGCGCCATGTCTCCGGTAGATCAAGTTCGTAGGCTTAAGGGCAGACACGCTGCAGGACAGTAGATGGCCGTGCGTACTGGTGGTTCCACCATATATCGTGATTCGGGTTCTAAGTCCCCGTGGAGGTCTCTCAGATACTTTAGCCTTTCTAAGACGAACTAAGAGCACTCCATCCACTATGAGCTCTGGTCCAGTCGCAGTGTATACTAGGATTCGCTTGGATGAGCGGTGTGGCGGTGTAGAAAAGCCACATAAAGTAGGCAGACCGTATTATTCAGCACCAAATCCTCAAACACTAGGTCTGAGCAACCGGATATAGGACAGGTGGATGAGTTGGTCCTCTTGATTTAGCTCCAATGGCGTTAATCGCCGACTGAACAGCCTTCATATGTTTGCTTCTTTCCACGCAGGTATTTCGCCAGGGGAAGCGAAGGGTAGGTCAAGAAGGCCTGGCTGGACAATTGCTGAAGATATAAGCACCTTCGTCCTGTGCTGGGCAGGGGTCATTGGCCACCAGAGTAGTCAGGACATCAGTTGCATCTGTCTGGAGTCTTTTTATGATGGAGGTACTGCACACATTGATTGCTTACTGAGGACCCTAAGCACCATACGGAGGCACAGTGGAGGGCGAGTGGGGTCAGTACCATCTAGCTCAAGGTAAGCTATGCAGCATATGCTAGGGTCTAAAAGATTGCTGGAGAAACCGGGGAGCCGGTGAATGACGGAGAAACTATTCCGTAGAGTGAGTGAAATGGAATACTAAGGTAGTAGAAGGACGGGATAATCTCCGGTTTAAATTTAACCGAGAGGAGCGTCCGAGTCCTACGGGACACAGATTCACCCAGTGAGAGGCACGGGACCTCTGGGGCATCATTTCGGGGATCCCCACTCTAATCCAATGCATTGAAGTATTATTGAAGCATCGATGTCTCGGCGTATTTCGTGGTGTCTCTGCCCCTCGGCCCCTCCCCACGCTTCCCCCTATGACATAGAGATTAGTTTGGTAGTTTTCCCACCAGACACTTCAGCAATATTTCCGTGTGTCAGGTACACCTTTTTTTCTTTCTCTGATCTTCTCACTTTCATCTTACTTTTCTTCTTTTGCCCGAAAACTACCTCTGACATCTTATCTCCTCCCTGATCTTGCACTTAGATACCCCGCCATGGCAACCCCGCAGGAACTCGTGCCTCAAACAGAATCCATAGCTGAGGTCTACGCTACGGACGACGCCTCTGCTACCTCTGCTGCCCCTGAGCACCAGTCACGGTTCAATAGATTAGTAACTCATTTCAACAAATTATACGGCCATCGTCCAGATTTCGTGGCCCGCAGCCCTGGCCGTGTCAACATCATTGGAGAGCACATCGACTACAACCTATACGATGTCCTCCCGACAGCTGTAAGTGTCGACGTGATTATCGCCGTCAAGGTTGTTCCTCCTACTGGCTCGGAACCGTTTGTCAAAATTTCCAATGTTTCGCCCGAAAAGTTCCCCTCTCGTGAATTCACTGTGCCTCGGGATACCGATATCGAGATTGACCCCAAGAAGCATGAATGGGTCAACTACTTCAAGGCTGGTCTTTCGGGCGCGTTGAAGTTCCTGCGCAAGCAGAAGGCGGATGGCTCGTTTACACCAGCAAGCTTTGAGGTCTTGGTGGATGGTAATGTTCCCCCAGGTGGTGGTATCTCCAGCAGCGCCGCCTTTGTCTGCGCAAGTGCGTTGGCCGTCATGAAGGCCAACAACCACAATGTTTCGAAGCAGGACCTGCTCGACCTGGCTGTTGTTTCGGAGAGAGCCGTTGGTGTCTACTCGGGAGGGTAAGTTGATCACTGCAGCGGCATATGGTATTGTGAGCTAACCAGTTTATGCTGTAGAATGGACCAAGCGGCTTCCATCTTCTCTCGTCGCGGATATCTCCTCTATACCCAGTTCTACCCCAACTTTGCCGTTCAGCATGTCCCGATTCCCAAGGCCGATGAAGAAATCACTTTCCTCATGGCCCAGAGCTTCGTCACCTCAAACAAGGCCGAGACGGCACCCCGTCACTACAACCTGCGTGTCGCCGAATGCACTCTCGCCGCTGTGGTCCTGGCCGCGCAGCACGGCATCACCTTGACCAAGGACAACAGCTCGCTGGGATACAGTCTGCGCAACTTCCACGAGGAATTCATGCGCAAGGAGGGCCGCCTCGGGGACCCACTGGAATACCAGATCGACTCCGTGATCCAGTCCACCATGGAACTCCTGACCCAGGAGCAGGGATACACCCGGGAAGAGATCGCCAAGCTGCTCGGCATCACAGTCCCCGAGCTCGAGGCCAAGTTCCTTTCCGCATTCCCGGTCCAGGCAGAGCGCTTCTTACTCCGTCAGCGTGCCCTGCACTGCTTCAAAGAAGCCCGGCGCGTGCTTGACTTCAGGGCCTGCCTGGCCAAGGCCCACACCCTGGACGAGAGGCGCATCCACTACCTGGGCCAGCTGCTGAACGAGTCCCAGGAATCCTGCCGCACGGACTACGACTGCAGTGCCCCGGAAGTCGATGAGATCTGCGCCATTGCCCGCCGCGCCGGGACCTGGGGAAGTCGCCTTACGGGTGCTGGCTGGGGTGGTTGCACGGTCCACATGCTGCCGCAGTCCAAGGTCGAGGCCGTCACCAAGGCCTTGAAGGAAGAGTATTATCTGAAGAAGTTCCCGGATATCAGCGAGGAGAAGCTGGCACAGGCAATGGTTATCAGCAAGCCTTCCAACGGATCCTTCATGTATGTGTACTCTTGTCTGGATGATGTCTTTACGGTTCCAAACGAGAATGTTGAGTCACTGACTGCTTTTTCCCAGGATTACGGGAGCCGCCATTACCGATGTCAAAATTTAGGAGATGTATATCACGAGAGAGAAAATAAAGCATTGAGCGATTTTCTACTGTTCACATTGATCTCTAGGGCGATTGGATTGTCCTTCTTAATCCACATCCAGGAGTATATAATACATAAGTGCCTGTAACATCTATTGAAGGTAGGCATGGTTTGATTCTGATTCCACATATCTTACAATTCAGTACAGTCCATTCGATCGGAGAGCGGCCGGTCCGTACGTTGCATGAGTGGACCTGGTTGTTGCATAAGTACTGTCCTCAATAACGAAGCGTGTGGACTGCAAGCATGAGCAATCATGTTTGGGCCGCTTTTAGGCCTCAAAGCTTGCCTTGGGACTGGAGATAAGACCTCGCTTGGTCTACCCCATTATCTGACTTTCGAAGTCCGTACCAAGAAATGGACAGGCTTCTTGGTAACTGAGGCTCTACCATCCGTCGCTTGTTGTGAACAATCGTCGGGGATGAAGCGACTGATCAATCGTTGGGATAAAGCGAGAAAACTCATGATTTCTTCTTGAGCGCTGCCTTGGTAAAGAAATCACTCATCTTCTTCATTCCCGTAGTATTGACCTTCTTCAGGTCTCTCACACCGCGGGATTCACCGGCCTTCTTCTTCTTCTCTTCCTCTTCTTTGCGGCGCTTTTTCTCGGCGCGGGATTCTGCAGCTTCGTCGTCGTCGGCACCGCGCTTGCGGCTGAAATCCCCGAGCGATTGAGATGCCAGTGCTTGCGCCCGCAGCTCTGCGATATGCTGGAGATGGTCTTGGAGGGGTTTGAAATCCACCGGTGTTTCAGGTGTAGCAAGTAACTCGTCTAACCTAGCACAGAGTTCTGGGGAGATGTATGATTCCTTGATGAAGGAGAGGACGGTGGAGATTCTGAGCAGACGAGCCATATTGTCCCTGGTGGCGGATTCCAGATTCGATTCAGCGGACAGTTCTGTAGCAGGGGTTGAGACACCTGAGGGTGTCGAGACAGAGGCAGTCGTTGTAGATTGGGTTTCCTGTTTGTCCTGGGACTCTCCCTCGCCGTCATCTTCCAATGACGACGTGCCTCCGATGATGGTCTCCTCTTGTTTGACGGACATCAAGGGTGTAACTAGTGCTTGACGCACAAATCGCTCCTCTAAACTCGCTGGAAGGCCCTGGGCCACTAGGCGCTCCGCCTTAGCGATCAGTTCCTTGAGGAGCTTGACCTCGTCGAAGCGGAACATTTTCTCATCTCCTGCTTCGACCGAGTCACATACCGCCTCGACTCGCGATTGCAAGACACTGCGGAAATCTTCATTGTAAACTATGTGCCGTAGATGACTTGGCAAATCGTCCTGCGAATCAACGATATCGTCGAGCGGCTGGAACAGCCTCTTGGTATGGGTCGACGTGGCTGGGGTCAGCAGAGGTATCATGAAGAACATGACATCAATTGGCGTTGCAACACACAGTTCGGCGACTTTGGAGATAGTCCCATTGACTTGGGAGCGGTCACCGTCGCCATTGGAAGCTTTTGTGTCTTGTTTGGAAGTGAAGAGAATACTCCGTGGAAACTGCGGCGTGGACCCTACGACGGTAAACTCGTACACGCCAAGTTTCGGACAGAAGAAGTAGCGATTGGGCTCTCCAGTTCGCGGATTGGGCAATGTTACGAATCTGGCATCATCACTTGCAGCTGAAGGGAGAATGAATGTCTTGCTGGGCGTCTGCACTGTAGTCGGCGCTTTGAGATTCTTTTGTTCTGTTTCAGGCTGCTCAGAGGAAGCTGTTGATCGCGTCCGCATTTCGGCGGTATTGCTCGGAGACGAAGTATGTATATTATTCGATGGAACTATCTCACATCGCACGACAATGGACAGTTGGTAAAAACGATCGTGTACAAGCTTGCTGCTTGATGGTAGCTCCAAGGGATGCTCTCAACGCGTCGGAACATCAGGTTGGTTTAACTTCCATCTGCCGACGCGACACGCGCAGGACTCCCTCGTCCAATCAGCGCTGTTGCTGCACACAACCACTCACACTTGCAGCAGCGGAAGATTCAATTTCTCGTCTTGTGCCTTGCCGATGACAGGGGATCATACTAATAAAGAAAGGGGTTGTTTTCAACTTTGAAACACGGGGTAGTATTGTTATTGTTGCTCAGTCAATTCCTCAGTTTCCTGGTTTATTGGCACCTGGGCTCTCAATTATTGATTGACCTCGGTGCTCTGATTCCATCCCCGCATCCCAATCAACAATGGTCAGCCAAGGAGCGTAAGAAACAGACAGTGACACAGTCACTTGGCCTTTCACAATATCACTTGCTGGGAGAAATCAGGGAGTAGATGCTGCCATGACCAGCAGTGAGTGCATATCCTGTTTGTTTACCGGGGATTTTCCCTACTTGCGACAGTAAACTAACCGAAACTCCCGCAATTGTTCAGTGGTTGAGACCTCATGGCCACCGAAATCTCCTAGGGAGGTACTTCTCAGCTCTCCTGATGGTCGGAGGAAATTTCAAGATATGCGACGCCGCCAGGAGAATATGGGGTCGCCTTTAAAATACTCGAGGACTACTCCGAATCTACGAGCTAATCAAAAACTGAACGACGCTATTGATGGCCTGGACGACGAAGACGAAGACGAAGACGAAGACGAAGAGACGTTACGACTCAAGCTTGCTGCCATTGAAGCAAAGCTGAAGTTGAAGCAGCTTCAGAAAAGTCGCGCACGCTCAAACACGTTGGAATCGAACGATACACAGTCCAGACCGGCATCGGCAGTTAGCTTCTCGTCGCGGTCACAAGAGCAGGTATCGAGACTTAGGAGCCCCATTCAAACGACTCGCAGACACGAGCCGGATGATGTACAAGTCCCTTTGTCGCCTGTCAGACGAGCGGCTCCTCCAGTTGAACCTGCGTCCCCGCGGAGATACCTTCTCGGCATCGACAAGGGTCTCAAAGGTAGCGATGTTAGTCTCAAACGTCCGCCAAACTCCCGCTTGGGGACACGGCCAACAAGTATGCACGGGACTCGTGAAGCTGCCATGTCTCACTCCGGCGATATCTTCGCATCTCACGCGCAGATGCTGGCTGCAGAGGAGAGTGGGAAACGGGGCAAAACATTTAGTGAGCGGATTGCTGAAAGCCGAACGGCTGAAAAGTCTCTCAGGGAACGAGAACTGAGGCTTCAGGTTAATCGAAGCTCCGCGTTCCAGTTCGACAAGACGGAGATGGAGACATTTAGGACAGCAGCGGCTGAGGCGAGAACAAACGCTCCTCCCAGGTCACCGACGAGAAGCCGTCCAGTCGAGACTTTCAGCAGAGACGACGTCGTGCGATCGTTTCAGAATCTCAAGCCTTCCATCAAACGAAGCCAGACTGCACCCAGTGTGCGCAAAGACGCAGGCTCCGAGGGATCACGACCATTTTCCCATAGGCGACCCAATCAATCTGAAACCGGACCGGCATCCTCTCAGTCTCGTGGAGATTCTTTCTCCGACCTTGACAACGAAACTCAAGACGAAGTAACAACGAAGACACCAGATTCGTCCAAGTTTGAGCCGTACTCGTCGCTTCACCTGTCGAATCGAATACTACCGCACTCCTTTCTAACTAGAACCCTCTCCGACAAGAAGATTCTTCGCATTCCAGACCTTCTGAGGACAGTGAGAGGGCCAGACTTTGAGCTTCCCGAAGAGATTGACGGAGACTACGTTGTATTCGGCATAGTTGCCTCAAAGTCGGAGCCAAAGCAAATCAAGGATACCAAAAATGTATCTGCGAAAGAAGTTGATCCCTTTGATGATGGACTGAACAACAGCAACAGGTATATGGCTATCACGCTCACAGATCTCAAGTGGACAATTGACTTGTTCCTGTTCGACACTGCCTTTCCTCGATATTACAGGTTATCAGAAGGCATCCTTATTGCCATCCTGAATCCTACCATCATGCCGCCTCCCAAAAATAAGATAGACACCAACAGGTTCAGCCTCTCCATTTCCTCATCAGATGATAAGATTCTCGAGGTCGGATATGCCCAAGATATAGGCTTCTGCAAAGCTGTCAGGAAGGACGGCAAGACATGCCAATCATGGGTGGATGGCCGAAAGACCGAGTTCTGCGATTTTCACCTCGATCTCCAGGTCCGTCGGGCGCAGTCACAACGGATGGGAGTCAACAGTGGCACAGGCATGTTTGGTCCTGGGGGCCGTTCAGGCCCACGGACTGGAGCTTTCGCGGGTGGGAAGAAACCAGGAACCCCGAACGGTCTGAAGTCAAATGGTCCCCAATATGATTTGGGATCTCAGTCCTTGTACTACATTGCACCCGCTCCTAAATCTCAAGGCGGCGGCGCTCAACATTCCCGCCACAGAGCACCCGGCCAATCTGCCGCCAGTCTCATCGACGCCGACGACGAAGATCCGTTCATCGCAGCAGGCATGATGGGCCGTGGGGCGGAAAGCAAGGAAGAACGCTTCCGGAGACGTCTTGTGCAGCAGCAGCGCGAACGAGACATCACTCAGAAGCTAGTCACCTCTCGAGCTGGCAACGTGGGGGCCGAGTACCTCCGCGCAAGAGCAAACAAGCCCGCAACATCCTCTCATCCCGAAAGCGCCGCCTCGTCTTCACAAGAGAAATCCAGCTTCGAGGCCTCCACCCCCGTTTCTGCGACCAGCCTCGGCCTAACGGGCTTCAGGAGAGCAAACGCCGTCAAGCTCAGTCCACTGAAGCGCGCCTACGATGGCGACAAACAGCACAATGGCAGCGTCAAGAAGACGCGATTCATAACGTCCAACGGTATCAAGGAAGCCGGACGGGACAGCCTGGGCGGCAGCTCTAATGCCATGACAAAACCTAATGATGATGATGACGATGACGATGAACTAGACATCATCCGATAAATGAAGCCATTTGCATACTGTGCACCTCATTCTTTCCTCACCCACCTACAAACTAGATACCCCCCCTCCTTGCCTCATTTCTTTTACCTGGCCAGAACAAAGTCACACGTCCTTCCTTGTAACAGCGCAGTGTCGAGGGTACCTCCCTTTAATTCATACTTCGGAACACCGCTGAGAGTCCGTCTTGCTTCAGGAAGCCATTCACTTTTTGTCGTTGGTAGTGTCAGCCATTCCGTTTTTGTAATTTCTTGCTTGTCCTTGTCATGCCGATAAATGATTACGGTGGTACTTGTAGCAGGACTATGTTGTACTATTCAATGTTTTATATGACTTCTCCAGCAATTATTGGCCTTGGGCTTTGAGGGCTCTGCAATTCAACCTGTGCCCCGTAGTCATATGCCATCGGGTCAACGGTGGCAGTATTGTATATTTTCCCAGCTGTAAGGCAAGTTTACTTTTTCAGGATAAGTGACAATCTGAGTTCAAGTTCATTGGGATATCTAATTCTGACTAGTTCAACGCAAAGTGGAATCGACACGCCCGAAAAGGTCAGGGAAACATAACTCCATCCCACCAATCCTCAAGCGAGATTCCAGCCAAATAACGTACCCATGCTCCCATTCCTGCTCAAGCTCATTAGGCAAAGAAAGAAGACCGATCTTTCGAAGAGATAAACATCAAGCGGAGGCCAGCCTAAACCAATACCCGGAAAAACGAAGTGAAAACCACAGGCGTAGAGAAAATACAATCATTCATGATCCAGACCATGCGAATAAGCTCACAACGTGGGGGTGGCTCTGTTCCCTCTCGTCTTCTTCATTGCAGGACCACCGGGACTAGCAGCTGCGTCCGCGTCTCTCTTCTTCGCCTTGGATACGGCATTCGCTGGAGTCTGCTTCTTGCGCAGCCAACCAGCAAATGGACTGACGCGCTTTGTAGTCGTTTCAGGCACATTTGGTGTTTCGATGTGTTCCGCGCCCTCTCGTTTGCCTCGAGGTCGCAGGGAACGCACAGTAGCACCTGGAGACGGAGATGTCGCAACCATAGCCTTCAGTGGGGGAGTCACCGGCCGCTGTGGCATTTCGACATCAGTGCCCTGATCGGCGTCATCCTCAAGCTCTTTGTGAAGCACGTGCTCGTCAACGTCGGTGGCCGCTTCTTCGTCAGAGTCGCTCATATTGTGCTCTGAATGACCACGATCATTGGCGCTCGGGAAGAGTACACGAGGCTTGATGGATGAGCGGGTCAAGGGGCGAACGGCGGTGTTGATGGACGAATCGATCAAGTCAGGACGCGCTGCGAGCAGACCCAAATCGTTTTCGTCTTCTCCGTCACTTTCGACGTCTTCCGTAAACTTTCGAAACATCTTCTTGCCTCGACTTTTAAGAAAGTTAGAATAGGCCCAACAAGAAAAGCGGAACCTGGGTAATACTCACAATACGTAGACCATTCCATCCTTCCGTTTGACCGCCTCATCAACTTCCTGATCGCGCTTCATCTCCTCCCTTCTGCTCCTTCTAGAAGCGCGCGCAGACACATGGCTGGTAGAATCCTGATTGTTGTGCTTCTTGTAGAAAGGGTTTCCCTCACTTTCGTCGATTTCTGGGATTCGATCACGGGAATCGGTGTAGATCTCAATCTGCGAAGATCCCCGTGTGGCATTGTCGATGAAACTGTCTAAAGAAAAGGCAGTGTCCTTCTTGGTCTTCTTGCTTCGCGAAGATGCCGAGCTCTGAGCTGCTGGGAACAGGGTGCGAGCAGTGTCTCCGACGGCACCAACTGCCTTCTTTCGTGGAGTTTTAGCAGGTGTGGGCAGCATGCCGTCAGTCATGGTGGGTCGGTATTTCTGGGGAGGGCGTTGTTGAGTATGCGAGAGTTCTGCGGTGGTGAAGGGGTCTGAGCTGTCTGACACATGGTGGTCTTCCAGTGAATGTGTAACAGCAGACGATCTGGTCTGGCCCGAATACTTCTTGCGGGGAGATCCGAAAACCGACCCTGGAGGCGACAATGCCTCAAACTCATCGCTGCTCTGCTTCTTCGTGCTTCTGAGACCGGGTTTGGTGTGAGCGGTCGCGAAACTGGGCGGAGGAGTAGTGCGGGACTCTCGTGAAGCCCGCTGACCGGCTAATCTCGTCGAATATCTAGTAGAATACGGTTCATATTGGTCATAGCCGGCTCCATGTCGAGGAGTAGGAGGAATTCGCAAAGTAGAAGGCGGAGGGGGTGTGGTCGCCATTGTGTGTTGTGTGTTGTGAGACACGTCAAATGACGGAACTTGTTCCTGCAGTAAAGATGTAGAGATACACCAAACGTTCCAACAAGATCCTATGACAATAAATCTGGATCGATGACTATCTGTGTTGCTGAAACTGAACACTTCGTTGGTGGTATGATCGAACGATGGCTCGAAGGAGACAAAGGGAGGAAAAACGCGCGACTCGCAACACGCACAACCCGACCGAAGGAGCGTCTAATCAATAAGACTTTCTGACTGACGACGCGCAATAAGGAGCGAAGGATGACTGTAAGTTAAATCAATCGATCTAATGGATGATAATTCTCGAAGATGAGATAAAGAGAAAACATAGAAGTGAGGATTGCAACCAAGGGTGGATAGATAGATGGTGAAGGGGGAAGGCCGGTCGATTGCTTGACGTCGAAAGTAACCAGCCACCGCTAATTATTAACCGACCCCTACAACATTGCGGCTTAGTAAGACTAAGCCTTAGTTTACGGGGT